GAGGCCAGAGGGGGATTGGCCGAGTGGGTGAAGGTGGTGGTTAATGCCTCCCTTCGGGAAGGCATATTTCCAGCCAGCTTAAAGCAAGCTGTGATAAAACCGCTGTTGAAAAAACCATCACTGGACCCCACTCAATTCGTCAACTATCGGCCTGTTTCCAATCTCCCCTTCTTGGGCAAAGTCCTGGAACGTGTGGTGGCCTCACAACTCCAGGCATTCTTGGTAGACACGGATTATCTGGACCCGGCACAGTCTGGCTTTAGGCCGGGGCATGGTACCGAGACAGCTTTGGTCGCCTTAGTCGATGATCTGCGCCGGGAGCTCGACAGGGGGAGTGTGTCCCTGTTGGTGCTGCTGGACCTCTCAGCGGCCTTCGATACCGTCGACCACGGTATCCTTCTGGGACGCCTTGGGAATGGGCCTGTGAGACACTTTTCTACAGTGGTTCTGGTTCTTTCTGGAAGGTCGCACCCAGAAGGTGTTACTGGGGAACTTCTGTTCAACTCCACAACCATTGTCTTGTGGGGTTCCTCAGGGTTAAATATTGTCTCCTATGTTGTTTAGCATCTACATGAAGCCACTGGGAGAGATCATCCGGAGTTTCGGGGTGCGATGTCATCTGTACGCAGATGATGTCCAACTCTGTCACTCCTTCCCACCTGCTACTAAGGAGGCTGTCGAGGTCCTGAACCGGTGCTTGGCCGCTGTGACGGTCTGGATGGGGGCGAACAAATTGAAATTGAATCCAGACAAGACAGAGGTACTCCTGGTCAGTCGCAAGGCCGAACAGGGTATAGGGTTACAGCCTGTGTTGGATGGGGTCGCACTCCCCCTGAAGACGCAGGTTCGCAGCTTGGGTGTGACCCTGGACTCATCGCTGAGCCTGGAACCCAGGTTTCGGCGGTGACCAGGGGAGCATTCGCACAGTTAAAACTCGTGCGCCTACTGCGCCCGTACCTTGGGAAGTCTGACTTGGCCACGGTAGTCCACGCTCTGGACATCCCGTTTAGACTACTGCAACGCTCTCTACGTGGGGTTGCCTTTGAAGACGGCTCGGAAGCTCCAATTAGTCCAACGCTCGGCAGCCATGATACTAACAGGAGCGGAGCGCAGGGAGCATACAACTCCTCTGCTGCACCAGCTCCACTGGCTGCCGATTTGCTACCGGGCTCAATTCAAAGTGCTGGCGTTGGCCTTTAAAGCCCTAAACGGTTCTGGCCCAACCTACCTATCCGAACGTATCTCGGCCTATCAGCCCACCAGGACCCTAAGATCTTCTGGGGAGGCCTTGCTCTCTATCCCGCCTGCTTCACAGGTGCGGCTGGTGGGGACGAGAGACAGGGCCTTTTCTGTGGTGGCCCCTCGGCTCTGGAACGCCCTTCCCATGGAGGTAAGATCAGCCTCCTCGCTGATGGTATTCCGAAGAAGACTAAAAACTTGGATGTTCAAGCAGGCATTTGGCTAATTCGGTGCAATGAATGTGTTGATTACGGATTGGTAATATGGATGATGCAATTGGACCACGATTTTAGTTAGGAGATGTATTGGATTGTGATTTTGTGTAATATTGTGTATTATGTTTTTTATGGTTTTAATTGTATACTGTGCACTGTATATTTTGTTGTAAACCGCGTTGAGTCGCCAATTAGGCTGAGAAACGGCGGTATACAAGGACAGTAAAAATAAATAATAAATAATAAATAAATAAATAGTAATAGTAATTGTTATCATTATCATTACTATTACAACCATGGCATACTACTACCAGTATTAAATTATTATTATTATTACTACTACAATGGCATACTACTAATACTATTACTACTATTAAATAGTAATAGTAATTGTTATCATTATCATCATTACTATTACAACCATGGCATAATACTACCAGTATTAAATTATTATCATTACTACTACTACTACAATAGCATACTACTAATACTATTATTACTATTAAATAATAATAGTAATTGTTGTCATCATCATTACTATTACAACCATGGCATACTACTAATAGTATTAAATTACTACTACTATCATGGCATACTACTACCAGTATTACATTATTATTATTATTATTATTATTATTATTACTACTACTACTACTACTACTACTATAATGGCATACTACTAATACTATTACTACTATTAAATAATAATAGTAATTGTTGTCATCATCATTACTATTACAACCATGGCATACTACTAGTAGTATTAAATTACTACTACTACTACAACCATGGCATATGACTACTACTATCATATTATTATTATTAGTATTAGTAATATTACTACTACTAGAACCACCATGGCATATTATTATTATTATTATTATTATTATTATTATTATTATTATTATTATTATTACAACCATGGCATACTACTACTACTACTACTACTACTACTACTACTAAATAATAATAATAATAATAATAATAATAATAATAATAATAATAATACTTTTTATTGTTTCTGACTTTGGTCCCATTTTTCTACTTATGGATTATTTGATGGATTGGGCAGATGGGTTGAAAAGCACCTGAAATCCCCAAATCCTCCCCTGTTGTCCACATGATAGTGACACATTTCAGTGTACATATGTATTAAGTTGCATTTGAAATAGGTACATTTCCTGTTGTGACGTATGGGTCCTGTCGCTAAGCCATCCCATTCTGCAGATGCAAGGATTCCCCAAATTCCAAGGGATTTGCATCAGGGAGGCCCAACCTATCATAGAATCAAGTGGACTTTCAGGTTGGTTTTCATGCCCAACCTACTCTTTTCCCCTCCCTTTTACTCTTCAGATTGAGTCCAAAGGAGCCAGGCTTAGGTTGCATCTACACCTTAGCATTAATGCAGCTCAGACATCACTTGGCTCAAGGTTATGGGATCCTGGGAGTTGTAGTTTGCACTCTTTTTTTGCAGAGAAGACTATAGACCTTACATAACAACAACTTCCACAATTTCATGGCATTGAGTAGTGTAAGTGTTGTTGAGCGTTATTTCTATGTGGGTCACACTTCACGACTGCCATAGCTGAAAACAGAAGCAGGTAAATAACAACAACACCATCAACAACAACAATAACAATAACACATTTTCGCCCCCTGGTTTATCAGTGTCATTTCCTAATTAGTTTTATAATAAAAACATGGGGAAAGATGATTAAACTGTAGAAACTTTGCAGAATGGACATTGTGCTTACTTTCTTTACTTACTTACTTAGGCGATCCCTCGTTGTCCGAGTAGGATAGTCTTCCAGGGTGGGTCCGTAGGTGACTGTGGAACCCGATACTTGACCCACATCTTCTCCCGCAGTGAGGGCATCAGTTTCCAGGTGGAAGGCGGTCCGGGGTTGGCTTGACGCGCCTTCCTCTTGGCACATTTCTCTCTTTCACCCTCCATTCGTGCCTCTTCAAATTCCACAGCACTGCTGGTCACAGCTGACCTCCAGCTGGAGCGCTCAAGGGCCAGGGCTTCCCAGTTCTCAGTGTCTATGTCACAGTTTTTAAGGTTGGCTTTGAGCCCGTCTTTCAATCTCTTTTCCTGTCCACCAACATTCCGTTTTCCGTCCTTGAGTTCGGAGTGGAGCAACTGCTTTGGGAGACGGTGGTCGGGCATCCGGACAACGTGGCCAGTCCAGTGGAGCTGATGGCGGAGGACCATCTCTTCAATGCTGGTGGTCTTTGCTTCTTCCAGCACGCTGACATTTGTCCGCTTGTCTTCCCAAGAGATTTGGAGGACTTTTCAGAAGCAGTGCTGATGGAATCGTTCCAGGAGTGGCATGTGACGTCTGTAGACAGTCCACGTTTCGCAGGCATAGAGCAGGGTTGGGAGGGGAATAGCTTTATAGACAAGCACCTTGGTCTCCCTACGGATGTCCCGGTCCTCAAATACTCTCTGCTTCATTCGGAAAAATGCTGCGCTTGCAGAGCTCAGGCAGTGTTGAATTTCAGTGTCAATGTTGACGTCTGTAGACAGTCCACATCTTGCAGGCATATAGCTATTTCCTCAAACTCCACCAGTGTTCACATTTGGACATATTGTGTATTCATGCCACGTTTGTCCCAGATCCATCATTGTTTGAGTCCACAGTGCTCTCTGGATATAGGCGAACTACAACTCCCAAACTCCAGGTCAATGCCCACCAAACCCTTCTAGTATTTTCTGTTGGTCAGGGGAGTTCTGTGTGACAAGTTTGGTTCAATTCCATCGCTGGTGGAGTTCAGAGTGCTCTTTGATTGTAGGTGAACTATAAATCCCAGCAACTACAACTCCCAAAGGTCAAGGTCTATTTCTCCCAAACTCCACCAGTGTTCACATTTGGGCATACTGAGTATTCATGCCACGTTTGTCCCAGATCCATCATTGTTTGAGTCCACAGTGATCTCTGGATGTAGGTGAACTACAACTCCCAAACTCAAGGCCCATGCCCACCAAACCCTTTTAGCATTTTCTGATGGTCGTGGGAGTTCTGTGTGCCAAGTTTGGTTCAATTCCATCATTGGTGGGGTTCAGAATGCTCTTTGACTGTAGGAGAACTATAAATCCCAGTAACTACAACTCCCAAAGGTCAAGGCCTATTTCCTCAAACTCCACCAGTGTTCACATTTGGACATATTTGAGTATACTTACCAAGTTGAGTCCAGATCCATCATTGTTTGAGTCCACAGTGCTCTCTGGATGTAGGTGAACTACAACTCCCAAACTCCAGGTCAATGCCCACCAAACCCTTCCAGTATTTTCTGTTGGTCAGGGGAGTTCTGTGTGCCAAGTTTGGTTCAATTCCATCGCGGGTGGAGTTCAGAATGTTCTTTGATTGTACGTGAACTATAAATCCCAGCAACTACAACTTCCAAAGGTCAAGGTCTATTTCCTCAAACTCCACCAGTGTTCACATTTGGGCATATTGCGTATTCATTGGAACCAGGACCAGAACCGTTTTGGTCTTGTTCATGCTCCTGCCTCCTAACTGGTCTTGCTTTTTCCCCGCACAGGCGCACCCGCGCTGCCCAGTGGTGACACTGGACGCAGCCCCGCTCCCGGCCACCCCTCCGCCACCCCCACCGCTGTCCCCGCAACCGCCCTCCTCGGGCCCAGCGCTGTCCGGCAGCCGCTCGGAGAAGGGCTCCTCCTCGTCCTGGTCCAGCCGCTCGCTGGGCGCCCGCTGCCGCAACTCCATCGCCTCCTGCGCCGACGAGCAGCCGCACATCGGGAACTACCGCCTGCTCAAGACCATCGGGAAGGGCAACTTCGCCAAAGTCAAGCTGGCCAGGCACATCCTCACCGGCAGAGAGGTCAGCACGGGGAACCAAAGCGGTGGGCAGGGGGACACTTCATTATTATTGGGTTGCTGTGAGTGTTCTGGGCTGCCTGGCCATGTTCCAGCAGCATTCTCTCCTGATGTTTTACCTGCATCTGTGGCTCATGGCATCTTCAGAGCATCTGTTGGGAGTGATGCAAGTGGAATATATATATTTGCAGCTCTAAGGCTACTCAATATATATGACATAATTGAGTAGCCTTGCAGCTGCAAAGTCAATCAGTGAGGGTATTTGCACAGAAGGAGTGAAGCATGTTGCATGTATATATCCCTGTGGAATAATGTCCAGGGTGGGAGGAAGAACTCTTGTCTGTTTGAAGCAAGTGCAAATGTTGCAGTTAGCTAGCCTGATTAGCACTAAGTAGCTATGAAGCTGCCAAGTCAATCAGTGAGGGTATCTGCATAGAAGGAGTGAAGCATGTTGCATGTATATATCCCTGTGGAATAACATCCAGAGTGGGAGAAAGAAACCTTGTCTGTGTAAAGCAAGTGTGGATGTTTCAATTAGCAAGCATGAATAGTATGAGTAGCCACAAAGCTGCCAAGTCAATCAGTGAGGGTATCTGAATAGAAGGAGTGAAGCATGTGGAGTGTATATATCCCTTGTCTGTTTGAAGCAAGTGTGAATGTTGCAGTTAACTAGCCTGATTAGCACTGAGTAGCCATGAAGCTACAAAGTCAATCAGTGAGGGTATTTGCATAGAAGGAGTGAAGCATGTGGAGTGTATATATCCTTATGGAATCATGTCCAAGGTGGAAGAACCCTTGTCTATTTGAAGCAAGTGTGAGGATTGCAATTAGCAAGCTTGATTAGCATTGAGTAGCCATGAAGTAGCCCTGAAGCTGCAAAGTCAACCAGTGAGGGTATCTGTATACAAGTAGTGAAGCAAGTGGAGTGTATATATACACCTGTGGAATAACATCCAGAGTGGGAGAAAGAAACCTTGTATGTGTAAAGCAAGTGTGGATGTTGCAATTAGCGAGCATGAATAGTATGAGTAACCATGAAGCTGCAAAGTCAATCAGTGGGGGTATCTGCATACAAATAGTGAAGCAAGTGGAGTGTTTATAAACCAGAGGAATAATGCCCAGGGTGGGAGAAAGAACCCATGTCTGTTTGAAGCAAGTGTGAATGTTGCAATTAGCAAGCTTGATTATTATTAAGTTGTGTGTTTTTTGGAGTGTCTGACCATTTCCCAAAAGCATTCTCTCCTCACGTTTGGCCTGCATCTGTGGCTAATCGAATCTTCAGAGGTTCTGTTTGCAGTGAAGGAAGTGGAGTGTATATATGTCTGTGGAATAATGCCCCAGGAAGGGGGAAGAACTCTTCTCTGTTGGAAGCCAGGGTGAATGTTGCAGTGAGCAAGCTTGAGTAGCATTGAATAGTCATGAAGCTGCAAAGTCAATCAGTGAGGGTCTCTGTATAGAAGTAGTGAATCAAGTGGAGAGTATATATCCCTATGGAATAATGCCCCAGGAAGGGGGAACTCTTCTCTGTTGGAAGCGAGTATGAATGTTGCAACGAGCAAGCTTGAGTATCATAGAATAGCCATGGAGCTGCAAAGTCAGTCAGTGAGGGTATCTGCATAGAGGTAGTGAATCAAGTGGAGAGTATATATCCCTGTGGAATAATGTCCCAGGAAGGGGGAACTCTTCTCTGTTGGAAGCGAGTATGAATGTTGCAACGAGCAAGCTTGAGTAGCATAGAATAGCCATGGAGCTGCAAAGTCAATCAGTGAGGGTATCTCTGCAGAGAGGTCGCCTGGCTGTTGTTGTCTGGAGGCACCCTCCCTGATGATGATACAGGAGTAGATACAGGAGTAAGTTTAGGACATTGTTGCTATTATTATTATTATTGTTATTATTATTATTATTATTACGCACACTATAGTTCATAACTTTCCGGAACTGTTTACTTTCTATAGGTGGCGATCAAAATAATCGACAAAACCCAGCTGAACCCAACAAGCCTCCAAAAGGTGAGAAACTGGTGAAACTGGGACTGTGGCGCAGCTGGCTGGGAGTCAGCTGCATTAAGATCACTACTGACCAAAAGGTCATGAGTTTGAAGCTAGCCCGGTTGGAGTGAGCTTCCAACCAATTTGTGTAGCTTGRTGTCYACCTTTGTAGCCCAAAAGACAGTTGCACCTGTCAAGTAGGAAATTTAGYGTGTCTAATTTAACTAATTCACGACGCCATAAAAATCTCCAGCAAGCATGCAAAGAATGAGGAAGTACTTTGTCAGTGTCATAAATGGACGGTGAAGCGACAGCTCCCTCTGGTGGCCAGAATACCCTCATGAAAAAGCTGGAATGTTAAATAGCCTCTGTGTGTCTGCCTATATATGTTGCGTGAGGCTAATTTAACTAATTTACGACGCCATAAAAATCTCCAGCAAGCATGCAAAGAATGGGGAAGTACTTCAAAAGTGACACAAATGTACGGTCAAGCGGCAGCTCCCCTGGTGGCCAGAATACCCTCGTGAACCTGYAATGCTAAATAGCCTCTGTGTACCTGCCTATATATGTTGCGTGAGGCTAATTTAACTAATTTARAATGCCATAAAAATCTCCAGCAAGCATGCAAAGAATGAGGAAGTACTTCATCAGCGTCACAAATTCACGGTCAAGCGACAGCTCCCCTGGTGGCCAGAACACCCTCATGAAAAAGCTGGAATGTTAAATTGCCTCTGTGTGTCTGCCTATATATGTTGTGTGAGGCTAATTTAACTAATTTACGATGCCATAAAAATCTCCAGCAAGCATGCAAAGAATGAGGAAGTACTTCATCAGCGTCACAAATTGACTGTGAAGTGACAGCTCCCCTGGTGGCCAAAATACCCTGATGAAAAAGCTGGAATGCTAAATAGCCTCTGTGTATCTGTCTATATATGTTGCATGAGGCTAATTTAACTAATTTACGACGCCATAAAAATCTCCAGCAAGCATGCAAAGAATGAGGAAGTACTTCACCAGCGTCACAAATTGACGGTGAAGCTACAACTCCCCTGATGGCCAGAATACCCTCATGAAAAAGCTGGAATGTTAAACAGCTTCTGTGTATCTGCCTATATATGTTGCGTGAGGCTAATTTAACTAAGGAAGCTATGCCGGTCCTTAATTAGCAATTCCCGGGCTCTTTGTTGGTTGCCATGGCGTTTTTTGCTAATTACCAGCAAACGAACTTAAGGGGGTGGAAAATTAATGAAGGATGGCTCGTTTGTTTGGCTGCCCCATCTCCCCTTCCGTGGCTGATCGTAGGCTTACATCTTGCTTTATTTGCAGCTTTTCCGCGAAGTCAGGATCATGAAGGGCCTCAACCACCCCAATATTGGTAAGTTGGCTCGTGGATGATGGGAGTTGTTGTGCAAATCATCTCAAAGGATGACAAAAGCTGTAATCGCTCCAATGAGATACTCCAGAGAACACCCAAAACTCACAAATCCATTGTAGTATAGTATTCTGTGTCCTGACAAATGCAGCTTTGGGCTGGTGGATGATGGGAGTTGTAGTCCATGCACCTGGAAAGGGACCAGATTTGAGAAAGAAGGGTATATTTACACTAATGAGAAATTCTGGTTATTGTCACCGTGATATAATTTACTGTAGTCAAATGAGTGTAGAATTACGTTGGTGGATGATGGGAGTTGTATTCCATACTGTGGCCCAATGAATGCAGTATTAGGTTGGTGGATGATGGGAGTTGTATTCCATACGGTTGTCCAGTGGATGTAGTATTAGGTTGGTGGATGATGGGATTTGTATTCCACACTGTCATCCAGTGAATGCAGAATTAGTTTAGTGGATGATGGGATTTATATTCCATATACCTGAAAGGCACCAGATTTAGGAATAAAGTGTATATTTTCACCAATTCTGGTTATTGTCGTTGTGATATAATTTACTCTAGTCCAATCAGTTTAGAATTAGGTTGGTGGGTGATGGGAGTTGTATTCCATACTGTCATCCAGTGAATGCAGAATTAGGTTGGTGGATGATGAGAGTTGTATTCCATACTGTGGCCCAATGAATGCAATATTAGGTTGGTGGATGGTGGGAGTTGTATTCCATACTATTGTCCAGTGAATGCAGAATTAGGTTAGTGGATGATGGGATTTGTATTCCATACACCTGAAAGGCACCAGATTTAGGAATAAAGAGTATTTTTGCACCAATTCTGGTTATTGCCGTTGTTATATAATTTACTGTAGACCAATCAGTTTAGAATTAGGTTGGTGGATGATGGGATTTATATTCCATACTGTTGTCCAGTGGATGCAGAATTAAGTTGTTGGATAATGGGTTTTGTATTCTATACTGTCGTCCAGTGAATGCAGAATTAAGTTGGTGGATGATGGGATTTGTATTCCATCCTGTCACCCAGTGGATGAAGAATTAAGTTGGTGGATAATGGGATTTGTATTCTATACTGTCGTCCAGTGAATGCAGAATTAGGTTGGTGGATGGTGGGATTTGTATTCCATACTGTCTTTCAGTGGATGTAGTATTAGGTTGGTGGATGATGGGATTTGTATTCTATACTGTCATGCAGTGAATGCAGAATTAGGTTGGTGGATGACGGGATTTGTATTCTATACTGTCGTCCAGTGGATGTAGTATTGGGTTGGTGGATGATGGGATTTGTATTCCATACTGTCGTCCAGTAAATGCAGAATTAGTTTAGTGGATGATGGGATTTGTATTCCATACACCTGAAAGGCACCAGATTTAGGAATAAAGGGTATACTTGCACCAATTCTGGTTATTGTCGTTGTGATATAATTTGCTTTGGTCTAATGCATGCAGCTGTAGGGTAGTGGATGATGGGAGTTGTCATACCAAAAATTTCCATCACCCTAAAGGACTAAGAAAAGTCACTTGATGCGGTGTAAGCTTTTTGCCAACGGTGCAATGCATGCCATCTGGGCAAGTTGATGTCGATTGTGCTTCTTGTGTGGTCCAGGGTTTGAATATATCATCTCAACAACATCTCTCCTTTTCAGTGAAACTTTTCGAAGTCATAGAGACAGAAAAGACCCTCTACTTAGTGATGGAATACGCCAGCGCTGGTAAGTGCCGTGGGACCCCCATCCTATACTGGCCTTTGCCATCATTTTGTGCCATATAGCTATGCACAGCTCCTCCCATTCCTCTTTGGATGGTGCTATGTCTCCCATCGCCCCCATCGCCTTGGAAATTATAGTGCAACAAGTCCTAGGAGTTATAGCACCTCCCCAAGATCGAGCCACAAGGAGAGGCGGGTCATAAATGTTGTTGTTGTTGTTGTCGTCGTCGTCATCGTTATTATTAGGTGCTATGTCTCCTGTTGCTTCCATGCCTTGGAAATTATAGTACAACAAGTCCCGGGAATTGTAGTGCCTCCCCAAGATCAAGCCACAAGGAGAGGCGGGTCATAAATGTTGTTGTTGTTGTCATCGTCATCATTATTATTAGGTGCTATGTCTCCTGTCGCTTCCATGCCTTGGAAATTATAGTACAACAAGTCCCGGGAGTTGTAGTGCCTCCCCAAGATCAAGCCACAAGGAGAGGCGGGTCATAAATGTTGTTGTTGTTGTCGTCATCATTATTATAATTATATGATGATGATGATTGTTGTTGTCGTCATCATCATTATTATTATCATTAGATGATGATGATGATGATGATGATTATGGTTGTTGTCGTTGTCGTCATCATTATTATCATTATATTATGATGATGATGATGATGATGATGATGATGGTTGTCGTCATTATCATTATTATCATTAGATGATGATGATGGTTGTCGTTGTCATCATCATTATTATTATCATTAGATGATGATGGTTGTTGTCGTCACCACCATTATTATTATCATTTTATGATGATGATGATGATGATGATGATGATGATGATGATGATGATTGTTGTTGTTGTCATCATCATCATTATTATCATTATATGATGATGATGGTGATGATTATGATGGTTGTTGTCGTCATCATCATTATTATCATTAGATGATGATGATGATGATGATGATGATGATCGTCATCATCATCATTATTATCATTAGATGATGATGGTTGTTGTCGTCACCACCATTATTATTATCATTTTATGATGATGATGATGATGATGATGATGATTGTTTGTTGTCATCATCATCATTATTATCATCATTATATCATGATGATAATGATGATGGTTGTTGTCATCGTCATCATTATTGTTATCATTATGATGATGATGATGATGATGATGATCGTTGTTGTCGTCATCATCATCATTATTATTATATGATGATGATGGTTGTTGTCGTCATCATAATTCTTATTATCATTATATGATGATGATGATGATGGTTGGTGTCGTCATCATCATTATCATTATATGATGATGATGATTGTTGTTGTCATCATCATTATTATTATCATTAAATGATGATGATGATGATGATGGTTGTCGTCATCATCATCATTATTATTATCATTAGTTGATGATTATGATGGTTGTTGTCATCATCATCATCATCATTATTATCATTAGCTGATGATGATGATGATGATGATAGTTGTTGTCGTCATCATCATTATTATCATTAGATGATGATGATGGTTGTCGTTGTCATCATCATTATATGATGATGATGATGATGATGATGTTGTTGTCGTCATCATTATTATTATCATTAGATGATGATGATGGTTGTCGTCATCATCATTATATGATTGATGATGATGATGATGATGATGATGGTTGTTGTCGTCATCATCTTCATTATTATCATTAGATGATGATGATGATGGTTGTCGTCATCATCATTATTATCATTATATGATGATGGTGATCATGACGATGATGGTTGTTGTCGTCATCATTATTATTATCATTTGATGAAGATTATGATGATGATGGTTGTCGTCGTCATCATCATCATTATTATCATTAGATGGTGATGATGATGGTTGTTGTCGTCATCATCATCATCATTTTTATCATTAGCTGATTATGGTGATGATGATGGTTGTCATCGTCATCATCATTATTATTATCATTAGATTATGATGGTTGTTGTCGTCATCATCATTATTATTATCATTAGATGATGATGATGATGACGATTGTTGTCATCATCATCATCATCATTATTATTATGTAATGATGATGATGACGGTTGTCATCATCATCATTATTATTATATGATGATGATCATGATGATGATGGTTGTCGTCATCATCAGCATCATTATTATTATCATTATATGATGATGATGATGATGATGATGATGATGATGATGATGAGAATTAGTATTACTATTATTATAATTATGCAGCTGCTATGGTCCACATTTGATTAACATTTGAATTGTATACAAATACTTTTATGTTAAGCCGCTTTGAGGCCCCTTTGGGGAGATAAAGCGGGGTATATAACAACAACAACAACTACAACATAACATAACATAACATAACATTACTCAAATGTGGACCATAGTAAAGGTAAAGGCTTTCCCCTGACATTAAATCCAGTCATGCCCAACTTTGGGCGGTGGTGTTCATCTCCATTTCTAAGCCGAAGAGTCGGCATTGTCCATAGACACCTCCAAGGTCATGTGGCCAGCATGACTTCATGGAGCGCTGTTACCTTCCTGCTGGAGCGGGATTTGGGTGACATCCTATTTAATGACCATAGAGAACAATATAGAATGGAAGGGGACGACGTGGCAACCCTAAATGCCCCTTGCCTTGCTTGCATGGAAATATGGGATTTGGAGGACATCCCATTTAATGCCCATAGAGGACAATATGGGACATTCCTTATGGAAAGGGACCACCTGGCAACCCTAAATGCCCCTTGCTTTGCTTGCATGGAAATATGGGATTTGGGTGACATCCTATTTAACGTCCATGCAGGACAATATGGGACATTCCTTATGGAAGGGGACCACCTGGCAACCCTAAATGCCCCTTGCCTTGCTTGCATGGAAATATGGGATTGGAGGACATCCTATTTAAAGTCAATAGAGGACAATATAGAATGGATGGGGACCACGTGGCAACCCTAAATGCCCCTTGCCTTGCTTGCATGGAAATATGGGGTTTGGAGGACATCCCATTTAATGCCCATAGAGGACAATACAGAATGGAAGGGGACCATGTGGCAACCCTAAATGCCCCTTGCCTTGCTTGCATGGAAATATGGGGTTTGGAGGACATCCCATGTAATGTCCATAGAGGACAATATAGAATGGAAGGGGACCATGTGGCAACCCTAAATGCCCCTTGCCTTGCTTGCATGGAAATATGGGATTTGGGGGACATCCCATTTAATGTCCATAGAGGACAGTATAGAATGGAAGGGGACCATGTGGCAACCCTAAATGCCCCTTGCCTTGCTTGCATGGAAATATGGGATTTGGGGGACATCCCATTTAATGTCCATAGAGGACAATATAGAATGGAAGGGGACCATGTGGCAACCCTAAATGCCCCTTGCCTTGCTTGCATGGAAATATGGGATTTGGGGGGCATCCCATTTAATGTCCATAGAGGACAATATAGAATGGAAGGGGACCATGTGGCAACCCTAAATGCCCCTTGCCTTGCTTGCATGGAAATATGGGATTTGGAGGACATCCCATTTAATGCCCATAGAGGACAATATGGGACATTCCTTATGGAAGGAGACCACCTGGAAACCCTAAATGTCCCTTGCCTTGCTTGCATGGAAATATGGGATTTGGAGGACATCCCATTTAATGCCCATAGAGGACAATATGGGACATTCCTTATGGAAAGGGACCACCTGGCAACCCTAAATGCCCCTTGCTTTGCTTGCATGGAAATATGGTATTTGGGTGACATCCTATTTAACGTCCATGCAGGACAATATGGGACATTCCTTATGGAAGGGGACCATGTGGCAACCCTAAATGCCCCTTGCCTTGCTTGCATAGAAATATGGGGTTTGGAGGACATCCCATTTAATGTCCATAGAGGACAATATAGAATGGAAGGGGACCATGTGGCAACCCTAAATGCCCTTGCCTTGCTTGCATGGAAATATGGGATTTGGGTGACATCCTATTTAATGACCATAGAGAACAATATAGAATGGAAGGGGACGACGTGGCAACCCTAAATGCCCCTTGCCTTGCTTGCATGGAAATATGGGGTTTGGGTGACATCCCATTTAATGTCCATCCAGGATATTCATTGGGATGGAAATGCATTGAACCCTTTTCCTTGGGCTGCAAACCCTTACCGAATGCACCCCTTTCCCCTTTTATTTTGCAGGCGAAGTCTTCGATTACTTAGTCTCTCACGGCCGGATGAAGGAGAAAGAAGCCCGGGCTAAGTTCAGACAGGTAGGGAAGCACGGGATATATACTGCATTTGGGATTTCGTTCTCTTCCCAGACCCCAAACCAATTGCAATGGGGTCTGGGCTTTGCAAAGGAGCCATACGAGTTGGATAGGCTTTGTCATGGAGGCCGTGCGAGTCGCTCACATGGCTGGCTATCGATTCCTCCATTCCGGCTTCAGGGCCGAAATATTGATCGTCGTTCTCTTTAAAAGGGTGGGAAAGACGTCACTTCTCGGCAGGAAGGAGCGGCGCATGGGGAGCTCTGCACATGTGCATTAATTCCATGCTTTTCCCTTTCTAGATTGTCTCCGCTGTGCACTATTGTCACCAAAAGAACATCGTCCATAGGGATCTCAAGGTAATAACGCACCCGTTGGGTGGCTTTCCTCGTTTCCTTATGATAACACTATTGTTCCTGGGTTATCCATGCCATTTCCTAATTGGTCTTCTCCTAAAAACATGGGAAAACCTTATCAAACTGCCCAAACTTTGGGTTTTTTTATGGGAGGAACATCGTACAGCACATTTTGCAATAGTTTTCCAATAAATATCTTCTTGAGTCTCAACCAATTTAACATAGTTGCACTACAAAAATGAAGCACAAGTACTTTCAAAGTAAGGACCGCACAATTAAGCAGGAAAGAAGACTGTGAAGCCAGGAACAGAATTATTTCGTGCTGCACAAGTATTGAAACTTCAGCCTTGGGTTCGATTCCCGGCTCTGGTGCACATTTTGCAGAATTATCACATTACAAATGGCTGTTGCAGCTTTGAACTCGAGGCGCATCTACACAGTGGAGTGAATGCAACTTGACCGCCTTTTAATTGCTCAACACTGTGGAATCATTGGGAGTTGTAGTTTGACAAGGGGCTGCAGTCTTCTCTGGTGCCTCACCAAACTACAAATCCCAGCATTCCGTAGTATTGAGCCATGGCAGTGCAAGCTAAACGTGAGTCAACAAGATCATGTGCCGGAAAAAAAGCCAATGGGATTTTGGCCTCCATCAGTAGGAGCCTAGTGTCTAGATCCAGGGAAGTCATGATCCTCATGCACTATTCTGCCTTGGTTAGACCACACCTGGAGTATTGTGTCCAGTTCTGTGCACCACAATTGAAGAGAGATATGGACAAGCTGGAATGTGTCCAGAGGAGGGCGACTCAAATGATCAAGGGTCTGGAGAACAAGCCCTATGAGGAGCGGCTGAAAGAGCTGGGCATTTTTAGCCTGAAGAAGAGAAGGCTGAGAGGAGATATGATGATAGCCATGTATAAATATATGAGAGGAAGTCACAGGGAGGAGGGAGCAAGCTTGTTTTCTGATGTCCTGGAGACTAGGACGCAATGGAACAATAGCTTCAAACTACAAGGAAGGAGATTCCATCTGAACTTGAGGAAGAACTTCTCAACTGTGAGAGCTGTTCAGCAGTGGAACTCTCTGCCCTGGAGTGTGGTGGAGGCTCCTTCTTTGGAAGCTTTTAAAGAGAGTCTGGATGGCCATCTGTCAGGGGTGATTTGAATGCAATATTCCTGCTTCTTGGCAGAATGGGGTTGGACTGGATGGCCCAGGAGGTCTCTTCCAACTCTAGGATTCTAGGATTCTAAGTGAGTCATTAATCCTGTCATGTCGATAACACCCCTAGTTTTCGCTACCCCGAATAAATCGTTATTATAATTATATAATTTTGAATATTGCAGAATGCTTCTATTTCACATTTGAGTCTCCTTTCTGGAGAGAAAAAGTGGGGTTCAAATAAGCATATTAATAATGATGATGATGATGATGATGATGATAATAATACTCCATTATTCTTAGCAAGACCTGTCCATTACAGGAGTTGGAAATGTGGCTATTTTGGACTACAACACCCATTGCTTTTATTAGCATGGCAGTTATGCAAGTTGCCATCTTTTCTTCTTGCATTGAGTTGGAAATGTGACCTTTTTGGACTACAACTCCCATTGCTTTTATTAGCATCGTGTTTATGCAAGTTGTATTCCTTTCTTTCTTCTTGCATTGAGTTGGAAATGTGACTATTTTGGACTACCACTCCCATCGTTTTTATTAGCATGGTGGAAATGCAACTTGTCATCCTTTGTACCCATATACATCTTGCATTGAGTTGGAAATGTGACTATTTTAGACTACAAATCCCATAGCTTTTATTGGCATGGTGGCTATGCAAGTTGCCATCCTTTCTACCCATATACATTTTGCATTGAGTTGGAAATGTGACTATTTTGGACTACAACTCCCATCGCTTTTATTGGCATGGTGGCTATGCAAGTTGCCATCCTTTCTACCCATATACATTTTGCATTGAGTTGGAAATGTGACTATTTTAGACTACAACTCCCATCGCTTTTATTGGCATGGTGGTTATGCAAGTTGCCATCCTTTCTACCCATATACATTTTGCATTGAGTTGGAAATGCGACTATTTTGGACTACAACTCCCATCGCTTTTATTGGCATGGTGGTTATGCAAGTTGCAATCCTTTCTACCCATATACATTTTGCATTGAGTTGGAAATGTGACTATTTTAGACTACAAATCCCATAGCTTTTATTGGCATGGTGGCTATGCAAGTTGCCATCCTTTCTACCCATATACATTTTGCATTGAGTTGGAAATGTGACTATTTTAGACTACAAATCCCATAGCTTTTATTGGCATGATGGCTATGCAAGTTGCAATCCTTTCTACCCATATACATTTTGCATTGAGTTGGAAATGTGACTATTTTGGACTACAACTCCCATCACTTTTCTTGGCATGGTGGTTATGCAAGTTGCCATCCTTTCTACCCATATATACCTCTTGCATCAAGTTGGAAATGTGACTATTTTGGACTACAACTCCCATGATGTTTGCTGGCAGGGGATTCTGGGAGTTGTTGTCCTCTTTTTCCAGTCATTGCTCCATTTCCTATCCCTTAACACTTCATTTTGTGAGAAGGCATCTCCTGTCTTTTGTATCCCAACTCGAACCGAAGCGAGAGTGTATAATCATTATATTATTATTATTATTATTATTATTATTATTATTATTATTATACACTATGCAAGACTGTTTTTATTCCTGGGTTACAAATGTCATTTCCTAATCGGTTCTACCATAAAAACATGGGAAAAGTTGATTAAACTGCCCAAACTTTGTATTTACGGGTGGGACGTTGTGCAGCACATTTTGCAATAGTGTTTCAAAGAATCGCTCATCGAGTCTCAGCCCATTCAACAGAGTTTGTGGCACGAAAACAAAATTTCTGGAGCGGAACGACTACTTTCAGAGTAAGGGACGTACAATTAAACAGGAAATGAGACTTTCAAACCAGGAACAGAATTTTTTTTTCAAATTTTGTTACATAGTATATATAAGTTTCATGCAACTGTTACTGTATAAATGAGGTTTGGACATTTTTCCTTTTAGACACACATATAAAAGACTTGATTCTTGTGTAGTTTCTTCTCTTGCTGCTCTGTGTGGATCATCAGAAGTATCCTCTCTCAACAGGTTTTCCTTTCTTAATTGTTGCTGTTCATTCGTTCAGTCGTCTCCGACTCTTCGTGACCTCATGGACCAGCCCACGCCAGAGCTCCCTGTCGGCCGTCACCACCCCCAGCTCCTTCAAGGTCAGTCCAGTCACTTCAAGGATGCCATCCATCCATCTTGCCCTTGGTCGGCCCCTCTTCCTTTCTTAATTAGTAACATGTTATCCCAGCTTTGCAAACCCAACACACAGCAATCCCCGTTGGGCATGGGCTGGGTGTCGATTTGCAAAACAGGATCATTGCACGCTTATATGGAACCACGACTAAGCCGAGAAAAGTCCCTTTTGGGGACTGGCAGTTAAGATGAGCCAAAGGAGAAATAGAAGAAGGATCTATTTATTTGCAAACCCAACATGCAGCCATCTCAGTCACTAGGACGCATTGACCACAGACAGGTTGGGTGTCATTTTGCAAAAATATTAAAACCTTTGCATCACTGCAAAGCATTAAAACCTTTGCATCGCTGCAAAAGATTAAAATCTTTGCATTGTTGCAAAACATACTTTTTGTATCGCTGCAAAACATTAAAATCTTTGCATTGTTGCAAAATATACTTTTTGTATCACTACAAAACATCAAAACCTTTGCATTGTTGCAAAACATGATACTTTTTGTAATGCTGCAAAACATTAAAACCTTTGCTTCGCTGCAAAACATAAAAATCTTTGCATTGTTGCAAAACATACTTTTTGTATCGCTGCAAAACATTAAAACCTTTGCATTGTTGCAAAACATTATACTTTTTGTATCGCTACAAAACATTAAAACCTTTGCATTGTTGCAAAACATACTTTTTGTATCACTGCAAAATATTAAAACCTTTGTATCGCTGCAAAACATTAAAACCTTTGCATTGTTGCAAAACATACTTTTTGTATCGCTACAAAACATACTTTTTTAACGCTGCAAAACATTAAAACCTTTGCATTGTTGCAAAATTTTTACTTTTTGTATCGCTGCAAAGCATTAAAACCTTTGCATCGCTGCAAAATATTAAAACCTTTGCATTGTTGCAAAACATACTTTTTGTATCGCTGCAAAACATTAAAACCTTTGCATTGTTGCAAAACATTTTACTTTTGTATCGCTGCAAAACAGTAAAACCTTTGCATTGTTGCAAACATTTTACTTTGGTTGTAGGTGAACTATACATCCCAGCAACTACAACTCTTAAAGGTCTATTTTCCCCAAACTCCACCAGTATTCACATTTGGGCATATTGTGTATTCATGCCACGTTTGGCCCAGATCCATCATGGTTTGAGTCCATAGTGTTCTCTGGATGTAAGTGAACTACAACTCCCAAACTCAAGGTCAATGCCCACCAAACCCAGTATTTTCTGTTGGTCATGGGTGTTCTGTGTGCCAAGTTTGGTTCAGTTCTATCCTTGGTGGAGTTCAGAATGATCTTTGATTGTAGGTGAACTATAAATCCCAGCAAATACAACTAAATAACAAAATCAATCCCCCCAACCCCAATTTGGGTGTATAGGGTATTTGTGCCAAATGTGGTCCAGTGAATGAAAATACATCCTGCATATCAGATATTTACATTATGGTTCATAATAGTATCAAATGGCAGTTTTGAAGTAGCAATGAAAACAACGTTATGGTTGAGGGTCACCACAACCTGAGGAACTGTATTAAGGGGTCGATGCATAGAGAAGGTTGAGAACCACTGATCTAGATCATCTGTATCATCCAGAAATCCCTGGAGTTGGGAAAGCCACCACACACTCTAGAAAGGGGATGTTGGACACTGGTTAACAGGTCTCACAACTGCCTTCTTGGCACTTTGCCTTGTTCCAAGGAGGCATTGTCCACCACCACCTTCACTCAGTCCCTCTCTGGCCTGTTGGATCAGCCAGGATCTGGAACAGATGTGGTAGCTCTCACCTCTCCAAGGATCCTGTCCACGTTCTCAGGCTTCACAATTGAAATGTAGCCGTCATAGTAATAGTTTCCAACCAGGAACAGAACGTTCTTTCCCAGTTTGTGTTTATATTGTATTGTCGATTGTCTCCATCCAGGCCGAGAACCTCTTGCTGGACGCCGACGCCAACATCAAGATCGCGGACTTTGGTTTCAGCAACGAGTTCACGCTGGGCTCCAAGCTGGACACCTTCTGCGGAAGTCCTCCTTACGCCGCCCCGGAGCTCTTCCAGGGCAAGAAGTACGACGGGCCGGAAGTGGACATCTGGAGCCTGGGGGTCATCCTCTACACCCTGGTCAGCGGCTCACTGCCCTTCGACGGGCAGAACCTCAAGGTGAGGCCGGAGAGCAGGATGACCAAGGGTGCATTTGCACTTCTGAAGGAAGGCGGTTCAACCCCACTTTCACTGCCATGGGATCAGAGAAATACAGGCTTGGAAGGGACCCCCAAAGGCCATCTAGTCCAACCCATTTGTCCATCCAAACCCTCCTGACAGATAGCCATTTAGCCTCTTTTGAAAGACCTCCTGTGAAAGAGACTCCATGGACTCCCAATCCACATTCCACTAGAGGTGGAAGGGACCCCCAAAGGCCATCCAGTCCAACCTCCTTGGCCATATAAGAAGTCACCATCCTACTTTCACTGCCATGGGATCATAGAAATACAGACTTGGAAGGGACCCCCAAAGGCCATCCAGTCCACCCCTTCTGGTCATAGAATCATAGAATCAATGAGTTGGAAGAGACCTCATGGGCCATCCTGTCCAACCCCCTGCCAAGAAGCAGGCGGAATACAAACTGGGAGTACAATGGAGTCTCATTCACTGGATGTCTTTAAGTAGAGGCTGGATGGACATCTGTCAGGAAGGCTTGTATGGCCAAAGGGGGCGGACTGGATGGCCTATGGAGGTCCCTTCCAATTATAGTGGAATATAGACTGTCTGGGAGCCCAATGGAGTCTCCTTCTCTAGAGGTCTTTATATAGCGCCTGGATGGTCATTTGTTGGGAGGGCTTGCATGATGCTATATATATGACCATCCAGACGCACTCGCAGAGCTCAGGCGGTGTTGTATTTCAGTCTCAATGTTGACTTTTGTGAATGTCTGTAGACAGTCCACATCTCGCAAGCGTGTAGCAGGGTTGGGAGGACAATAGTTTTGTAAACAAGCCCCTTGGTCTCCCTACGGATGTCCCGATCCTCAAACACTCTCTGCTTCATTGAAAGAATACTGCACTCACAGAGCTCAGGCGGTGTTGTATTTCAGTGTCAATGTTGACATCTGTAGACAGTCCACGTCTTGCAAGTGTATAGCAGTGTTGGGAGGAGAATAGCTTTATAAACAAGCCCCTTGGTATCCCTACGGATGTCCCAATCCTCAAACACTCTCTGCTTCATTGGAAGAATGCTGCACTCGCAGAGCTCAGGCGGTGTTGTATTTCAGTGTCAATGTTGACATCTGTAGACAATCCACGTCTTGCAAGCGTATAGCAGTGTTGGGAGGACAATAGCTTTATAAAGAAGCCCCTTGGTCGCCTTATGGATATCCTGGTCCTCAAACACTCTCTGCTTCATTTGGAAGGATGCTGCACTYGCAGAGCTCAGGCGGTGTTGCATTTCAGTCTCAATGTTGACATCTGTAKACAGTCCATGTCTTGCAAGCGTATAGTAGGGTTGGGAGGACAATAGCTTTTTAMAGAAGCCCTTGGTCTCCCTACSGATGTCCCGATCCTCAAACACTCTCTGCTTCATTGGAAGAATGCTGCACTCGCAGAGCTCAGGCGGTGTTGTATTTCAGTGTCAATGTTGACATCTGTGGACAGTCCACGTCTCGCAAGCGTATAGCAGGGTTGGGAGGACAATAGCTTTATAAACAATCCCCTTGTTCTCCCTACGGATGTCCCGGACCTCAAACACTCTACTTCATTGGAAGAATGCTGCACTCGCAGAGCTCAGGCGGTGTTGTATTTCAGTGTCAATGTTGACATCTGTAGACGGTCCACGTCTCGCAAGTGTATAGCAGGGTTGGGAGGACAATAGCTTTATAAAGAAGCCCYTTGGTCTCCCTACGGATGTCCTGATCCTCAAACACTCTCTGCTTCATTTGGAAGGATGCTGCACTCGCAGATCTCAGGCGGTGTTGTATTTCAGTCTCAATGTTGACTTTGGTGGAGAGGTGGCTGCCAAGGGAGTGGAAATGGTCAACATTTTCTAAGCTGTATTTCTGGCATTGGAGAGGGATTGGTTGTTACTGCTGGAAGAGCACCATCCAAACCCTCTCAACAGATGCCCATTTGGTCTCTATTTATTAAAGAAATAGAAGATAAATGAGACCCATGAGTAGGAAGTGGGGATGATGGGCTGCCTCATAGCAAGAAGGGAATGGGGAAAGGCCTTGCATTGTGGAGTCGGGGGATTGGCATGATGACAACCACGCACATCCCCTTCTTGCTCTCTTCTAGGAGCTGCGGGAGCGTGTGCTGCGGGGCAAGTACCGCGTCCCCTTCTACATGTCCACCGACTGCGAAAACATCCTCCGGCGCTTCTTGGTGCTCAACCCGGCCAAGCGCTGCACCTTGGAGGTGAGATCCACATTTACATGTATATACATATATATACACACACATACATATACATGCATGATATATATATCATACAGTCCTAAAGTTGGAGGAAACACAAAGTCTAGCCAGTTCAACGCCCTTCTGCCAGGTGAGAAGATACCATCAAAGCCCTCCTGACAGATAGCCATCCAGCTTCTGTCTAAAGACTTCCATAGAATCCTACAGGTGGAAGACAGCCTAATGGCCCTTTATTCCAATCACCATCCAATCACTCCTGACAGATGACCATCTAAACACTCATAGATGGCCATAGATATAATAGAGAAGGACAGAGATGATAGATAGATATAGATAGATACACACACACATATATAAACACAAGCTTGATTGATATATCATAGAATCCTAAAGTCAGAAGAAACCCTCCAATTACTCCCGACAGATGACTGTCTAGCTATAGATAGATAGCCATAGTTATAACTGAGAGAGACACAGATTATATATATATACACACACACAAACATACAAACATACACACACACATATCTATATCTATATATCTATAGATATAGATATTCTCACACACATATATTAATACATACACATGTAAACATGCAGGAAACATTTATTATAGAAGAAACTTTCTGCTGGGCAGAAAGACACCATCCAGTCACTCTCTGCAGATGACCATCCAACCATAGATAGATAGCTATAGATACCATTGGGAGAGGTTGTGTGACACATACATATATACACACACATATATACATATACATATATATATATATATATATATATATACACACACACACATACATACACACACACACACACACTTGTACACATATATTTGTGTGTGTGTGAATATATATATATGTACACACATGTATTCATATATATACACATATACATAGATATATACATAAACACACATATACACATACACTATAGATATAGAATCCTAGAGTCGGAAGATATTTTCTGCTGGGCAGAAAGACACCACCGATCCCTCTTGACAGATGACCATCCAACCATAGATAGATAGCTATAGATATCATTGAGAGAGGTTGTGTGACACATACATATACACACACATATATATACATTAATTCATTAATATATATATATATATATACACACACATGCACACATATATTTGTGTGTGTGAATATATATATGTATACACATGTATTCATATATATACACACATACATATACATATATATAAAATATATTCACATATATATACATACACATATATTTGTGTGTGTGAATATATATATATGTACACACATGTATTCATTTATATACACACATACATATACATATATATACATATATTCATATATATATATATATATACACACACACATACACATATATTTGTGTGTGTGAATATAGATAGATAGATAGATAGATAGATAGATAGATAGATAGATAGATAATGTACACACATGTATTCATATATATACACATATACATAGATATATACATAAACACACATATACACATACATGATAGATATAGAATCCTAGAGTTGGAAGATACTTTCTGCTGGGCAGAAAGACACCATCCAATCACTCTCTGCAGATGACCATCCAACCATAGATAGATAGCTATAAATATCATTGAGAGAGATTATATGCACACATGCACACACATGTATGATAGGCACTAGGTTCCTACTGCTTCAGCCTAGATTGTTATTTTCCCCTTTGCAGAAAGTGACAGGCTTTAATTAGCGGCTGTCTTGGTGGGACGGGGCTCTTCCCACCGCCTTGCCCTCCCCCTCAATCTATGGCTGTAATTAGCCTAATCGACTCAAGGATAATTATATGTTGCAAAGGGAAGAGGGTGGCTTGCAGCTGCCGCATCATTGTCGTTGTTCTCCCTTCCTAAACAATGCTCAAGGGAGTCCGCGTTTTCATCCCAAGAGTGCCCCTGAGCATATCCAAAGGGCTTGAGCAACATTCCCATTTTATGGACCTCGTTTTCCCCCCATTCCCTGCAGCAAATCATGAAGGACAAATGGATCAACATTGGCTACGAAGGGGATGAACTGAAGCCCTACAAGGAGCCCGAAGAGGACTTTGCAGATGCCAAACGGATCGGTAAGAGAACCAAGTGCAGTGTAGTTACTTGTAACTAGTTACTTTCTCCTTTATCCAGGAGTACAAACCAACCATGATGTCTTGCTATCATTTTTCTTATGTCTGAACTATTTCAAAGCAATGCTGGATGGTTGCCACAGTTGTATTTTCCTGCCAGGCAGAATGGGGTTGGACTAGATGACCCTTGGGGGTCCCTTTCCAGCTGGACCCTTTTATTCTTGTGTGTGACTGCTTATTTAATGGCCTTTTACCTTTTATATGAGCCATTATTTTCACTCAATTTAATATTGTATTTTCCTTCCTGGGGTTGGACTAGATGAACCTTGGGGGTCCCCTTCCGACTGGACCCTTTTATTCTTGTGTATGACTGCTTATTTAGAGGTAGTGAGGTGAATGCTTGAGGATGCTTCCTCTGAGAATGCTTGCATAGATGCAGGCGAAACGTCAGGAGAGAATGCCTCTAGACCATGGCCATATAGTCCGGAAAAACCTACAACAACCCATGGCCATATAGCCCGAAAAACCCTACAACAACCCAGTTTATCTATATTGTAGCTTTCTGTCTGGTATAGGGTTGGACTAGATGACCTTTAGGGGTCCCTGTTGCATTTGACCCTTTTTTTAAAATTCTATGTGGCCACTTATTTATTTAATTAATAGCCTTTTTTGATTTTTATATGAGCCATTATTTTAACTCCGTTTAATATTGGCCTATATGTGGAGAAGCTTTGTATATTTTTGCTTGGCCAAATGGGGTTGGACTAGATGACCCTTGGGGGTCCCTATATATTATACTTTCCTGTCTGGCAGAATGGGGTTGGACTAGATGCCCTTTAGGGGTCCCTTTCCTACCCGACCCTTTTGTGATTTTATGTGGCTCCTTATTTAATAGCCTTTTATGTCCTTTTATATGAGCCATTATTTTCACTCAATTTAATATTGATCTAGATATTGTCGTTTCCTGTCTGGCACAATGGGGTTGGGCCAGATGACCTTTAGGGGTCCCTTTCCCACTTGACCCTTCTGTGATTCTATGTGGCTACTTATTTAATAGCCTTTTTGCCTTTTATATGAGGCATTATTTTAACTCTATTTATTATTGATCTATATGTTGAGCAGCTTTGTATTTTCCTGCTTGACAGAATGGGGTTGGACTAGATGACCCTTCCGACTCTACCATTCTATTCTCTATGTGGCTGTTTATTTAATTGCCTTTTTGCATTTTATATGAGACATTATTTAACTCCATTTATTGTTGACCTATACGTTCAGCAGCTTTGTTTTTTCCTGTTCAACAGAATGGAGTTGGACTAGATGACCTTTAGGACCCCCTTTCCCACTTGACCCTTTTGTGACCCTATGCGGCTGCTTATTCAATAGGCTTTTATGTCCTTTTATATGAGCCATTATTTTCACTCATTTTAATATTGATCTATATATTGTAGTTTCCTGCCTGGCAGAATGGGGTTGGACTAGATGACCCTTGGGGGTCCCTTCTGACTCAACCATTCTATTATTCTATGTGGCTGTTCATTGAATTATCTTTTATATGAGCCATTATTTTAACTCCATTTATTATTGATCTATATGTTGAACAGCTTTGCATTTCCCTGACTGTCAAAATGGGGTTGGACTAGATGTCCTTTGGAGTCCCCTTCCAATTTGACTCCGTTATTATTCTATATACCTTTTTATGTCAACAGCTTTGGCCTTTTCTTTTTTACTTACATTGTGAGTTGCCTTGGGTCCCATCCTAGAATAAGTAATTTAATAGTAACAATTTATTTTAATAATAATGTAATTTAACCATAATTGAATCTTGCAAAGGCGGAGTAAGGACATTGGGAATAATGGTCTTTCTTTCTGCAGAGGTGATGGTGGGCATGGGCTACACAAGGGAAGAGATCAAGGAGGCCTTGACCAACCAAAAATACAACGAAGTCACAGCCACCTACCTCCTGCTGGGCAGGAAAAACGAGGTAAGGGGGCCCAAGGAAAAGGTGGGGACCGTCTAGATGCCCTTGTGGGTGTCCATACGAGACTATATATGTCTATTGGAAAGGGTGGGCACCTACATATGGGAGTCAACCGTATATAGACCCCCCACCCAGATGTGGGGATCGTCTAGATGCCCTTGTAGGTACCCATACGAGACTATATATGTCTATTTGAAAGGTGGGCACCTACATATGGAAGTCATCTGTATATAGACCCCCCACCCAGATGTGGGGACCGTCTAGATGCCCTTGTGGATCCCCATACGAGACTATATATGTCTATTTGTAAGGTTGGGCACCAGGTGGGGGTCTATATATGGGAGTCATCCATATATAGACCCCCCCACCCAGATGTGGGGACCGTCTAGGTGCCCTTGTGGGTACCCATACGAGGCTATATATGTCTATTAGAAAGGGTGGGCACCAGGTGGGGGTCTACGTATGGGAATCATCCATATATAGACCCCCACCCAGATGTGGCGACCGTCTAGATGCCCTTCTGGGTACCCATATGAGACTATATTTGAAAGGGTGGGTACTAGGTGGGGGTCTACCTATGGGAGTCATCCATATATAGACCCCCTCACCCAGATGTGGGGACTGTCTAGATGCCCTTGTGGGTACCCATATGAGACTATATATGTCTATTGGAATGGGTGGGCACCTACATATGGGAGTCATCCATATATAGACCCCCCATCCAGATGTGGGGATTGTCTAGATGCCCTTGTGCGTACCCATATGTATATATGAAAAGTGGGCACTAGGTGGGGGTCTACCTATGGGAGTCATCCAAATATAAACCCCCTACCCAGATGTGGCGACCGTCTAGATGCCCTTCTGGGTACCCATATGAGACTATATTTGAAACCGTGGGCACTAGGTGGGGGTCTAACTATGGGAGTCATCCATATATAGACCCCCCACCCAGATATGGGGACCGTCTAGATGCCCTTGTGGGTACCCATATGAGACTATATATGTCTATTTGAAAGGGTGGACACCTACATATGGGAGTCATCCATATATAGACCCCTACCCAGATGTGGTGACCGTCTAGATGCATTGTGGGTTCCCATATGAGACTAGATATGTCGATTGAAAAGGGTGGGCACCTACATATGGGAGTCATCCATATATAGACCCCCCACCCAGATGTGGTGACCGTCTAGATGCCCTTCTGGGTACCCATATGAGACTATATTTGAAAGGGTGGGCACTAGGTGGGGGTCTACCTATGGGAGTCATCCATATATAGACCCCTCACCCAGATGTGGGGACCGTCTAGATGCCCTTCTGGGTACCCATATGGGACTATATATGTCTATTTATAAGGTTGGACACCAGGTGGGGGTCTACATATGCAAGTCATCCAAATATAGACCCCCTACCCAGATGTGGCGACCGTCTAGATGCCCTTCTGGGTACCCATACGAGACTATATATGTCTATTTGAAATGGTGGGCACCAGGTGGGGGTCTACATATGGGAGTCATCCATATGTAGACCCCCCATCCAGGTGTGGGGACTGTCTAGATGCCCTTGTGGGTTCCCATACGAGACTATATATGTCTATTTGTAAGGTTGGACACCAGGTGGGGGTCTACATATGGGAGTCATCCATATATAGACCCCCCACCCAGGTTTGGGGACTGTCTAGATGCCCTTGTGGGTACGCATACGAGACTATATATGTCTATTTGAAAGGGTGGGCACTAGGTGGGGGTCTGCATATGGGAGTCATCCATATATAGACCCCCCACCCTGATATGGGGATTGTCTACATGCTGTTGTGGGTTCCCATACAAGGCTATACATGTCTATTTGAAAGGTGGGCACCTACATATGGGAGTCATCCATATATAGACCCCCCACCCAGATGTGGGGACAGTCTAGATGCCCTTGTGGGTACCCATACAAGACTATACTTCTGTATACTGTCACTAATGTCCTTCCTGTCCCTGGCAGCAGGTGGAAGGGGGCGAGTCCCGCACGGGCAGCAGCCTATCCTTGGCCCGGGTGCGGGCGCCCAGTGAGGCCTCCAACGGGACCACCAAGTCCTCCTCTTCCTCCTCCTCGCACTCCAAGAGCCAAAGGGGGTCCTCCACTTACCACCGGCAGCGGCGGCACAGCGACTTCTGTAAGCCCCTCGCCCCCCGCGTTTTGAACCCGCTCCCCTATTTGTGGCCTAGGGACGGACCCCCATTCTCTGCCTCTCGTTTCCAGGCGGACCCTCCCCGGTGCCCATGCACCCGAAGCGCAGCCCCACCAGCACCGGAGATGGCGAACTGAAGGAGGAGCCGCGCATGCCCTCGCGCAAGGCCAGCTGCAGCGTGGTGGGCAGTGGCCGCGGCATCCCCCCTTCCAGCCCCATGGTCAGCAGCGCCAACAACCCCAACAAGTCGGAGATCCCCGACCGGCGCAAGGACAGCGCTGTCAACACGGTGAGCGGGAGCAGATCTTGTTGGTTTATGCAGCCATAGCCCTCCAGTGTATGCAGCCATTGCCCATCCATAGCCTTGTGTTTCGTGCAGTCGTAGCCTATCTGTAGCTCTCTGGTTTATGCAGCCATAGCCCTCCAATGTATGCAGCCATTGCCTATCTATAGCCAGCAGTTTATGCAGCCTTGGCTATCTTCAGCCCTCCAGTTTATGCAGCCATTGCCCATCCATAGACCTGTGCTTTGTGCAGTCACTGCCCATCTGTAACTCTCTGGTTTAAGCAGCCGTAGCCCATCTATACCCTCCAGTTTGTGCAGCCATTGTCCAGCAAGAGCCCTGTGATTCATGCAGTCACCGCCCACCTGTAGCTCTCTGGTTTATGCAGCCATAGCCCATCTGTAGCTCTCTGGTTTATGCAGCCATAGCCCTCCAATTTATGCATCCATTGCCCATCCATAGCCCTGTGCTTCGTGCAGCCGTAGCCCATCTGTAGCTCTCAGGTTTATGCAACCATAGCCCTCCAGTGTATGCAGCCATTGCCCATCCATAGCCCTGTGGTCTGTGCAGCCATAGCTCATCTGTAGCTCTCTGGTTTATGCAGCCATAGCCCTCAAGTGTATGCAGCCATTGCCCATCCATAGCCTTGTGTTTCGTGCAGTCGTAGCCTATCTGTAGCTCTCTGGTTTATGCAGCCGTAGCCCTCCAGTGTATGCAGCCATTGCACATCCATAGCCCTGTGGTTTGTTCAGTCATAGCCCATCTGGTTTATGCAACCGTAGCCCTCCAGTGTATGCAGCCATTGCCCATCCATAGCCCTGTGGTTTGTTCAGTCATAGCCCATCTGAAGCTCTCTGGTTTATGCAGCCATAGCTCTCCAATGTATGCAGCCATTGTCCATCCATAGCCTTGTGTTTCATGCGGCCATAGCCCATCTGTAGCTCTCTGGTTTATGCAGCCATAGCCGTCAAGTGCATGCAGCCATTGCCCATCCATAGCCTTGTGTTTCGTGCAGTCGTAGCCTATCTGTAGCTTTCTGGTTTATGCAGCCATAGCCCTCCAGCGTATGCAGCCACTGCCCATCCATAGCCCTGTGCTTCGTGCAGTCATCTGTAGCTCTCTGGTTTATACACCCATAACCCTCCAGTGTATGCAGCCATTGCCCATCCATAGCCAACAGTTTATATAGCCATTGCTATCCACAGCCTTCTAGTGTATGCAGCCTTTGCCCATCCATATCCCTGTGGTTTGTGCAGTCATAGCCCATCTGTAGCTCTCTGGTATATGCAGACAAAGCCCTCCAGTATATGCAGCCATTGCCCATCCATAGCCAGCAGTTTATACAGCCATTGCTACCCACAGCTCTCCAGTATATGCAGCCATTGCCCATCCATAGTCCAGTGTCTTGTGCAGCTGTAGACCATCCAGCTTACACAGCCATAGCCCTCTAGTTTACAAAGCCATTGCCTATCCATAGCCCTCCATTTTATGTGGCCATAGCCCATCTGTAACCCTATAGTTTACGCATCCATTGCCCATCTGTAGAGTTCCACTTTATGCAGCCAAAGCCCATCTTTAGCCCTCCAGTTTGTGTAGCCATTGTCCAACAAGAGCTCTGTGATGTGTGTGGCCATAGTCCAACTGTAGCCCTCTGGTTTACGCAGCCATAGCCCTCTGGCTTATGCAGCCATAGTCCATCTGTAGCTTTCTGGTTTATGCATCCATAGCTCTCCAATGTATGCAGCCATTGCCCATCCATAGCCCTGTGGTTCATACAGTCATCGCCCATCTGTAGCTCTCTGGTTTATGCAGTATATGCAGCCATTGCCCATCCATAACCAGCAGTTTATACAGCCATTGTTATCCACAGCTCTCCAGTATATGCAGCCATTGCCCATCTATAGCCCTGTGGTTCATGCAGTTATGGCCCATCTGTAGCTCTCTGGTTTATGCAGTATATGCAGCCATTGCCCATCCATAACCAGCAGTTTATACAGCCATTGTTATCCACAGCTCTCCAATATATGCAGCTATTGCCCATCCAGTGACTTGTGCAGCTGTAGACCATCCAGCTTACACAGCCATAGCCCTCTAGTTTACGAAACCATTGCCTATCCATAGCCCTCCACTGTATGTTGCCACAGCCCATCTGTAACCCTATAGTTTATGCAGCCATTGCCCATCTGGAGAATTCCACTTTATGCAGCCTTTGCCCCTCTGTAGAACTCCAGTTTGTGCCATCATTGCCCATCCATAGCCCAAGGACTCATGCAGCTGTAGACCATCAGTAGCCCTCTGACTTACACAACCATAGCTCTCCGGTTTATGCAGCCATTGCCATGCACAGCCCTCCAGGTTATGTATACATTGCCCATCCATAGCCCTCCAGTTTATGCAGCCATTGCCCATCCATGGTCCTCCAGTTTATGTAGCCATTGCCCATCTGTAGAACTCCTGCTTATGCAGTTATTGCACCTCCATAGCCCTCCAATTTATGCAGGCAATGCCCATCCATAGCCCTATGACATGCAGCCATAGCCTATCTGTAATCTGTTTTGTGCAGCTATAGCCTTCAGTTTTATATAGCTATGACCAAACTGTATCCTTCTGGCTTATGCAGTCATTGCCTATTCATAGCTCTCTGGTATATGCAGCCATTGCCCATCCATAGTCCAGTGACTTGTGCAGTTGTAGACCATCAGTAGCCCTCCATCTTACACAGGAGCATCCTTCCAGTTTATGCGGCCATTGCCCATCCATAGCCCTGTGATTTATGCAGCTATAGCCCTTGGGTCTATGCAGCCATGGCCAAACGGTAGCCCCCTGGCTTATGCAGTTGTAGCCCATCTATAGTTTATGCAGCCATTGTCCAACAAGAGCCCTCTGATTTGTGCAATCATAGCCCAACTGTAGCTCTCTGGCTTATGCAGCCATAGCCCTCCAATGTATGCAGCCATTGCCCATCCATAGCCCTATGGTTCGTACAGTCTTAGCCCATCTGTAGCCCTCTGGTTTATGCAGCCATAGCCCATCTTTAGCCCTCCAGTTTGTGCAGCCATTGTCCAATAAGAGCCCTATGATTTGTACAGTCATAGCCCATCTGTAGCTCTCTGGTTTATGCAGCCATAGCCCTCCAATGTATTCAGCCATTGCCCATCCATAGCCAGCAGTTTATACAGCCATTGCTATTCACAGCCCTCCAATGTATGCAGCCATTGCCCATCCATAGTCCTCTGGTTTATGCAGCCATAGCCCATCTCTAGTTTTCTGGCTTATGCAGCCATAGCCCATCTCTAGTTTTCTGGTTTATGCAGCCATAGCCCTCCAGTGTATGCAGCCATTGCCCATCCATAGCCTTGTCTTTCGTGCGGTCATAGCCCATCTGTAGCTCTCTAGTTTATGCAGCCGTAGCCCATCTATAGCCCTCCAGTTTGTGTAGCCATTGCCCAACAAGAGCCCTGTGATTTGTGCAATCATAGTCCAACTGTAGCTCTCTGGTTTATGCAGCCATAGCCCTCTGGCTTATGCAGCCATAGCCCATCTGTAGCTCTCTGGTTTATGCAGCCATAGCCCTCCAATGTATTCAGCCATTGCCCATCCATAGCCAGCAGTTTATACAGCCATTGCTATTCACAGCCCTCCAATGTATGCAGCCATTGCCCATCCATAGTCCTCTGGTTTATGCAGCCATAGCCCACCAGTGCATGCAGCCATTGCCAATCCATAGCCCATGGTTCATGCAGTCATAGCCCATCTGTAGCTCTCTGGTTGATGCAGCCATAGCCCTGTAGCTTATGCAGCCATAGCCCATCTGTAGCTCTCTGGTTTATGCAGCCATAGACCTCCAATGTATGCAGCCATTGCCCATCCATAGCCAGCAGTTTATACAGCCATTGCTATTCACAGCCCTCTAATGTATGCAGCCATTGCCCATCCGTTGTCCTCTGGCTTATGCAGCCATAGCCCATCTCTAGTTTTCTGGCTTATGCAGCCATAGCCCATCTCTAGTTTTCTGGTTTATGCAGCCATAGCCCATCTCTAGTTTTCTGGTTTATGCAGCCATAGCCCTCCAGTGTATGCAGCCATTGCCAATACGTAGCCCTGTGGTTCATGCAGTCATAGCCCATCTGTAGCTCTCTGGTTGATGCAGCCATAGCCCTGTAGCTTATGCAGCCATAGCCCATCTGTAGCTCTCTGGTTTATGCAGCCATAGCCCATCTGTAGCTCTCTGGTTTATGCAGCCATAGCCCTCCAATGTATGCAGCCATTGCCCATCCATAGCCAGCAGTTTATACAGCCATTGCTATTCACAGCCCTCCAATGTATGCAGCCATTGCCCATCCGTTGTCCTCTGGCTTATGCAGCCATAGCCCATCTCTAGTTTTCTGGCTTATGCAGCCATAGCCCATCTCTAGTTTTCTGGTTTATGAAGCCATAGCCCTCCAGTGTATGCAGCCATTGCCAATACGTAGCCCTGTGGTTCATGCAGTCATAGCCCATCTGTAGCTTTCTGTTTTGTGCAGCCGTTGTGTGATGTGTATGGCCATAGCCCAACTGTAGCCCTCTGGCTTATGCAGCCATTGCCCATCCATAGTCTTGTGCCTTATGCAGCTTAAGCGGCTGAGGGGGAAAAGGAAGGGGTCTGAGGCTGTTAGGAATGGTGGGAGTTGGAGTCCAAAACACCTGGAAGACCCTAGTTTGCACATACCTGGGTCAAAGCAAGGCAGGCTGGAAAAATGTTTGCACGGGACCTTGATTCCATGCCTTGTTTTTTCTCTCTCCTTGCAGAATAACATTCCCTCTAGCATGATGACCCGGAGGAACACCTACGTCTGCACGGACCGGCCAGGCGGGGAACGCCACTCCTTGCTCCAGAACGGCAAAGAGAACAGGTACCAGCAAGCGGCCATCCCCGGGTTGCAAACATCCGACTTACAAACGTCTCCCAGTTAAGAACGGGGCTGAGACAACAGGAAGGGAGAGGAACCTTCCCTTTGGAAAGGAAATCCACTCCTGGAAGGGTTATTATCAAGGGGAAAGGGGTCTCCACCCACCACCAGCTGCATTTTCCAAAATCCAGTTCTCACAGGGACAGAAAGGGAAGTGGAATCTTCTGAACAGGCATGGATAGCGTAGGGAAGGGTCTTAACCCTTCGCTATGGTATCCGAAGCTGGAGAGAGAGGGAAATAGAGAATAGGCTGGACATTTCGCTTTAAAATGACCCTGTTCCAACTTACATACAAATTCAACTTAAGAACAGACCTACAGAAGCTCTCTTGTTCATAACTTGGGACTGCCTGTAATAATATCTATGGCTGGATGGGCCTCTGTTGGGAGGGATCAGATGGTGCCATCCTGCCAGGCAGGAAGAAGGGGGCTGGACAGGATGACCTTTGGTCCATGATGTCACAAATAGTCGGATGTGACGGAACGAATAAACAACAACAAAATACTATCTCTCTCTCTCTCTCTCTCTCTCTCACACACACACACATATATGAGATAGATACTATTTCAATCTCTCACGCACACATACATATATATTCACATCTGGAATATTGTGTCCAATTCTGGGCACCACAATTCAAGAGAGATATTGACAAGCTGGAATGTGTCCAGAGGAGGACTAAAATGATCAAGGGTCTGGAGAACAAGCCCTATGAGGAGCGGCTTAAGGAGCTGGGCATGTTTAGCCTGAAGAAGAGAAGGCTGAGAGGAGATATGATAGCCATGTATAAATATGTGAGAGGAAGCCACAGGGAGGAGGTAGCAATCAGGGTCTGGAGAACAAGCCCTATGAGGAGCGGCTTAAGGAGCTGGGCATGTTTAGCCTGAAGAAGAGAAGGCTGAGAGGAGATATGATAGCCATGTATAAATATGTGAGAGGAAGCCACAGGGAGGAGAAGGGAGCAAGCTTGTTTTCTGCTTCCCTGGAGACTAGGACGCGGAACAATGGCTTCAAACTACAAGAGAGGAGATTCCATCTGAACATGAGGAAGAACTTCCTGACTGTGAGAGCCGTTCAGCAGTGGAACTCTCTGCCCCAGAGTGTGGTGGAGGCTCCTTCTTTGGAAGCTTTTAAACAGAGGCTGGATGGCCATCTGTCAGGGGTGCTTTGAATGCTATATTCCTGCTTCTTGGCAGAATGGGGTTGGACTGGATGATGGCCCAGGAGGTCTCTTCCAACTCTAGGATTCTATGGTTCTATGATTCTATATATGGCCTGCAAACCAAACGCCACAGGGGTGTCCACCCTCTTCCTACGATATCCAAAGCAAAAACATACCTATGTTTTGGCTGGAGTTAGACTTTTAAAATGTCCCTGTTCCAACTGACATATAGATTCAACTTAAGTACACCCTTACAGGATTGTTTGTAACTTGGGGACAGCCAGTCTTGTGTGTTTCCTGGAGCGGCGCCCTCTCTAGGAGACGGACGGCCTGCCTTCGTTCGATTTCCCGGAGCGGCATGTGTTCCGGCCTCCGCTTTGGCCGCCTGCCCGCTTTCCACTGGCTGGCCTTGGCCCCAGGGAGGAGCCGGCATCCTGGCCGTCCATGTGACTCCCCAGAAGAGAGTCAAGGACAGGCCCAGGGACACAAACACAGGCAGAGCCCCCCCCCCCTCCCAAAACACTCTATGCAACACGACTTTTGTTCCTGGGTCATCAATGTCATTCCCTAATTGGTTCTACCATCAAAGTACGGACTGTAGAATTAAATAGGAAATAATACTTTCAAACCAGGAACAGGAAGTGTTGTTACGTAATGTGTGTCTAGATGGCCTTTGGGGGTCCCTTCCTACGCTAGGATTCTATGATATAGCCAATATATCTAATAGATAGATAGATAGATAGATAGATATTATAGATCATCTCTCTCTGGCTGAAGCAATTGGACGCTGCATTCCTACCTGGCCAAATGGGACTGGACTAGATGGCCTTTGGGGATCCCTTGTGACTAGGATTCTATGATTGATTTATTGATTGATTGATTGATTGATATTATAGATAAATCATCTCTATCTCTTTCAATCATATCTATGGCCATCTATCTATGGCTGGAGCGATTGGATGCTGCCTTCCTACCTGGCCAAATGGGGCTGGACTAGATGGTCTTTGGGGGTCCCTTCCGACTAGGATTCTATGTTTGATTGATTGATTGATTGATTGATATTATAGATAGATCATCTCTCTCTTTTTCAATCATATTGATGGCCATCTATTTATGGCTGGGGAAATTGGATGCTGCATTCCTGTCTGGACAAAGGAGGCTGGACTAGATGGTCTTTGGGGGTCCCTTCCGACTAGGATTCTATGATTGATTGATTGATTGATATTATAGCTAAATCATCTCTCTCTCTTTCAATCATATCTATGGTCATTTATCTATGGCTGGAGCAATTGGATGGTGCATTCCTACCTGGCCAAAGGGGGCTGGACTAGAACATTTCTCCCTCTCTCAAACACATGTAAGGTCTATTTATGTCTGGATGGCCATCTGTCAGGAGCGATTGGGTGGTGCCTTACTCTCTTGGATGAAGGGGGTTGGACTGGATGGCCTTTCAATTATGGGATTCTGTGATATATCTAATCTATCGATCTATAGAACATCTCTCTCTCTCTCAAACATATATAAGGTCTATTTATGTCTGGATGGCCATCTGTCAGGAGCGATTGTGTGGTGCCTTCCTCTGCTGGCTGAAGGGGGTTGAACTGGATGGCCTTTGGGGGTTCCTTCTGATTCTAGGATACATCTAATAGATAGATTATTGGGGGCTGCCTTCCTGCCTGGCCCAAGGGGGTTGGACTGGATGTCCTTTGGGGGTCCCGTCCGAGTCTAAGACGTGTGACCTGTCTCTCTGCTCTTTCTCCCCTTCCCCACGGCAGCTCTGCGTCCAGCCGCGTGCCCCCGGCCTCGCCCTCCAGCCACAGCATTGCGGCCAGCTCCTCCTCCTCCTCCTCGGAGCGCACCCGCCTCTCTCGCGGCACCAACATCCGCAGCACCTTCCACGGGGGGCAAGTGCGGGACCGGCGCGGGACCGGCGTGCAGAACGGGCCGCCCACCTCGCCCACACTCTCCCACGAGGCCAGCCCCCTGCCCCAGAGCCGCAGCCGCGCCACCTCCAACCTCTTCAGCAAGCTCACCTCCAAACTCACACGAAGGTGAGCGAGCCCCAGGGAGGAGGATGCCAATGGGCGCGCATGGGTATATACCTATGCGCCTGCAAGATCTCCATGCACATTGACTAGGGGTGTGCAAAATTGTATTTTGTATTGGTTAGATTCATGCATACGAATTGATATTACAAACTTACCTGCAGGGCATTTTCCCCAATTCCTTTCATCCATCCGTTGCAATGGTTGACGTTAAAAGTGCACCCCAAGAGTGAGCATTGCCTTTATTGGGGCGGCATTACCCTTGATTAATTGATTTGGGCACGCCAGTCCCTTTCATCCATCCATTGCAACGGTTGACCTTAAAAGTGCACCCCAAAAGTGAGCCTTGTTACCGAGTTGGGTGCCCGAATTCCTTTCGACCATCCCATGTGTCTAGATTGCACCCCAAAAGTGAGGACTGCCTGAAGTGGGGCATTATCCTTGCCTTACCAATCTGGGCACCCCAGTTCCTTCTGTCCATCCATTGCAGAGTTCGACCTTGAAAAAGCACCCCAAAAGTGAGCCTTGTTACTGACTTGGGTGCCCGAATTCCTTTTGACCATCTGTTGCAGAGTTGGACCTCAAAAGTGCACCCCAAAAGTGTCTTTATTGAGGCATTGCTCTTACTTTATATTTATTGGGGCATCACTCTTGCTTTACGGATATGGGGGTCTCATGTCCTTACACTGCACCCCAAAATTGAGCCGCGTATTTATTGGGGTATTGCTCTTGCTTTACTGATATGGGGATCATATCAGTAAATATGATTGCACCCCAAAAGTGAGCATTGCCTGAACTGGGGCATTATCCTTGTGTTAACRATCTGGGCACCCCAGTTCCTTTGGTCCATCCGTTGCAGAGTTTGAACTTGAAAAAGCACCCCAAAAGTGAGCATTGCCTTTATTGAGGTGTGTCGCCTTTAGTTTGCCTATTGGGGCACTTCCTATTTCTAGGGGACCTTCCTCAAATCTCCTTCCTCTATACCGACCTCAGAAGCGTACCCCAAAAGTGAACCTTGGTTTTATTGGGGAATTGCTGTTGCTTTGATGATTGTCTAGAGGGCACCCCAAAAGTAGGCGTTGTCTGAACTGGGGCATTATCCTTGTGCTACCAATCAGGGCACCCTAGTTCCTTTGGTCCATTCGTTGCAGAGTTTGAACTTGAAAAAGCACCCCAAAAGTGAGCATTGCCTCTATTGAGGGATTGCTCTTGCTTTGCTGATATTGTGATCCCACATCTTTTTGATTGCACCCCAAAAGTGAGCATTACCCTTGGTTTATGCATATGGGCACCCCATATCAATTGGGCACTTATCTCCCTATTCCTTTCATTCATCCATTGCAGTGGTTGACCTCAAAAGTGCACCCCAAAAGTGAGCTATGTCTTTATTGGGGCACTGCTCTTACTTTACTGATATGGGGGTCCGACATCCCTAGATTGTGCCCTAAAAGAGAGCATAGTCTTTACAGGGGCATTGCCTTTCGCTTCGTTGATTTGGACACCCCAATTCCTTTCGTCCATCCGTTGCAGCAGCTGACCTAAAAAGCGCACCCCGAAAGTGAGCATTGCATTTATTGGGGCATTGCTCTTTTTCTACTGATATGAGGGTCCCATATCCCTAGATTGCACCCCAAAAGTGAGCATTGTCTGAACTGGGACACTACCCTTGCGTTACTGAATTGGGCACCCCAATTCCTTTCATCCATGCATTGCAGCAGGTGACCTAAAAAGCGCACCTCAAAAGTGAGCATTGCATTTATTGCGGCGTTGCTCTTTTTCTACTGATATGAGGGTCCCATATCCCTAGAGTGCACCCCAAAAGTTGCCTTGTCTTGCTGTACTGATTTGAGGGACTCATGTGTCTAGATTGCACCCCAAAAGTGAGCATTGTCTGTACTGAGACACTACCCTTGCGTTACCCATTTGGGCACCCCAATTCCTTTCGTCCATGCATTGCAGCAGGTGACCTAAAAAGCACACCCCAAAAAGTGAGCATTGCATTTATTGGGGCATTGCTCTTGCTCTACTGATATGAGGGTGCCATATCCCTAGAGTGCGCCCCAAAAGTGTGACTTGTCTTGCTGTACTGATATGAGGGTTTCATGTGTCTAGGTTGCACCCCAAAAGTGAGCATTGTCTGAACCTTGCGTTACCAATTTGGGCACCCCTATTCCTTTCATCCATGCATTGCAGCAGGTGACTTAAAAAGCGCACCCCAAAAGTGAGCATTGTCTGAACCTTGCATTACCAATTTGGGTACCCCAATTCCTTTCGTCCATGCATTGCAGTGGCAGACCTAAAAAGCACACCCCAAAACTGAACGTTGTCTTTATTGGGGTGATTTGGGGGCCCTGTTTCCATTTGGCAAAAGGGGAAGGGGGCCCTCCACCATCTCCTGGGGGTCTCCTTGTGGTCACCTTGGGGTCCCCTTTGCCCCTCTCGGCTTCCTTGCTCACTAACCCCCTCGGCTTCCTTCCTTCCTCCATCCCTCCTTCCTCCTCCACCTCCTCCTCCTCCCCGCGCCTGTTTCACTCTGGCTTTTCTCTGTTTTCAGGGTCACTCTTGACCCCTCTAAGCGGCAGAATTCTAACAGGTGCGTCTCGGGCGCTTCCATGCCTCAAGGATCTAAAATCAGTAAGTCTGGCTGCTTTTCCTTCCCTTGTTTTGCTCACCCGGCGGCTGCCTTCCCCCTTCCGGCTGCGCCCTTCCTCTCCCCGCCCTTGTCTTTCTCCCCTTTCCGTCCTCCTTGGCTAGAAAAGAGGGGGACCCCTCACCCCCCCAGGGAGGGGAGTCTATCAAGGAGCCACATCCCCTTGGAAGCATGTCTTGGGCACTCTGAACATGCTCAGAAGCACTCTTGTCCTTAGTCTAACCCCCAAGTTTTATGCCCTAAGGCTACTCTTCCCAAGAGCCAGGCTTAGCATATAAGTTGGGCAAAACCCATTCCTTGCCATCTCAGACATGGTTGTTGTTATTATGTGTTTATGTTTATGTACTCTGCACATGCTCAGAGGCACTCTGAGTTAAAGTCCCATGGCCACTTCCCAACCCATAAGTGTACAAAACCCATCAGAACCAGTATAGGTTGGGGGCGAAACCCATTCCTTGCCATCTCAGGCACGGTTATCATCATCATCGTCATCGTCATCATCATCATCATCATCATCACCATCATCATCATCATGTTTATGTTCATGTTCATGTTTATTGTTTATTGTTTATGTTTATTATTATGCTCACAGACACTCTCCACCTGAGTTTTATGATACAGGCACAGTTGTTGTTGTTGTTGTTGTTATTATTATTATTATTATATTTGCAGAAAGGCACTCTGCACATGCTCAGAGGCACTCTGAGTTTTATGGCCACTTCCCAGCCCATAAGTGTACAAAACCCATCAGAACCAGTATAGGTTGGGGGCGAAACCCATTCCTTGCCATCTCAGGCACGGTTATTATTATTATTATTATTATTATTATTATTATTATTATTATTATGTTTATGATTATGATTATGATTATGCTCACAGATACTCTCCACCTGAGTTTTATGATACCCACTCCTTGCCATCTCAGGCACAGTTGTTGTTGTTGTTGTTGTTATGTTCAGAAAGGCACTCTGCACATGCTCAGAGGCACTCTGAGTTTTAAGCCCAATGGCCACTTCCCAGCCCATAAGTGTACAAAACCCATCAGAACCAGTATAGGTTGGGGGCGAAACCCATTCCTTGCCATCTCAGGCACGGTTATTATTATTATTATTATTATTATTATTATTATTATTATTTTATTATTATGTTTATTTGCAGAAAGGTACTCTGCACATGCTCACAGACACTCTCCACCTGAGTTTTATGATAACCACTCCTTGCCATCTCAGGCACATTTGTTGTTGTTGTTGTTATATTTATTTGCAGAAAGGCACTCTGCACATGCTCAGAGGCACTCTGAGTTTTAAGTCCTATGGCCACTTCCCAGCCCATAAGTGTACAAAACCCATCAGAACCAGTATAGGTTGGGAGTGAAACCCATTCCTTGCCATCTCAGGCATGATTATTATTATTATTATTATTATTATTATTATTATTATTATTATTATTATTTTTTATGTTTATTTTATGTTTATGTTTATTATTATTTTTTGCAAAAAGGCACTCTGCACATGCTCAGAGGCACTCTGAGTTTTAAGCCCCATGGCCATAAGTGTACAAAACCCATCAGAACCAGTATAGGTGGGAAGTGAAACACATTCCTTGCCATCTCAGGCATGGTAATTATTATTATTGTTATAATTATTATGTTTATGTTTATTATTATGCTCACAGACACTCTCCACCTGAGTTTTATGATACCCACTCCTTGCCATCTCAGGCACAGTTGTTGTTGTTGCTGTTATATATTTTTGCAGAAAGGCACTCTGCACATGCTCAGAGGCACTCTGAGTTTTAAGCCCTGTGGCCACTTCCCAGGCCATAAGCGTACAAAACCCATTAGAACCAGTATAGGTTGGGAGTGAAACCCATTCCTTGCCCTCTCAGACACGGTTATTATTATTATGTTTATGTTTATTTGCAGAAAGGCACTCTGCACATGCTCACAGACACTCTCCATCTGAGCTTTATGATACCCACTCCTTGCCATCTCAGGCACAATTGTTGTTGTTGTTGTTGTTGTTGTTGTTGTTGTTGTTGTTATTATATTTGCAGAAAGGCACTCTGCACATGCTCAGAGTTTTAAGCCCTATGGCCACTTCCCAGCCCATAAGTGTACAAAACCCATCAGAAACAGTATAGGTTGGCAGTGAAACCCATTCCTTGCCATCTCAGGCACAATTATTATTATTATTATTATTATTATTATTATTATTATTATTATTTTGTTTATGTTTATGTTAATTATTATGCTCACAGACACTCTCCACCTGAGTTTTATGATACCCACTCCTTGCCATCTCAGGCACAGTTGTTGTTGTTATTGTTGTTGTTGTTGTTGTTGTTGTTGTTATTTGCAGAAAGGCACTCTGCACATGCTCTGAGTTTTAAGCCCTATGGCTACTTCCCAGCCCATAAGCGTACGAAACCCATTAGAACCAGTATAGGTTGGGAGTGAAACCCATTCCTTGCCATCTTAGGCACGGTTATTATTATTATTATTATTATTATTATTATTATTATTATTATTATGTTTATGTTCATGTTCATGTTCATGTTCATGTTTATTTTTTGTGTTTATTATTATGCTCACAGACACTCTCCACCTGAGTTTTATGATACCCACTCCTTGTCATCTCAGGCACAGTTGTTGTTGTTGTTGTTGTTATATTTATTTGCAGAAAGGCACTTTGCACATGCTCAGAGGCACACTCTGCCTGAGTTTTTAAGCCCTATGGCGACTTTCCAGCCATAAGTGTAGAAGACCCATATGAGCCAGGCTTAATGTATAGATTGGGGACAAAACATATTCCTTGTCATCTCAGGCACTGTTGTTGTTGTGTTTGTTAGTATTAGTATTAATTATGTTTTATTTATAGAAAGACACTCTGCACACGCTCAGAGGCACTCTTTGCCTGTGTTTTACGAAACCCAAATTCCTTGCCAATTCAGGCATGGAATTGTGGGAGTTGGAGTCCTCAAGTTTGCCCATGCCTGCCATAGAGCTTCCTGGGGATAATGTATATTAATGGCACCTACACAAGTTTCACCCACCAATGCCAATGCGCAACGGGGTCCGGTGAGGTTCCTTGGGTGGCCGGACGCTGGCTTTTCTCCTTTCCCCTTTGCCCGCTGCCCTGACCTCTTAGCCATTGCTTGGACTTGACCGTTGCTTTTCTCTTTCCTTCTGCTTAGGGTCGCAGACGAACCTGAGAGAATCAGGGGACCTACGCTCACAAGGTACGTTTCCGGACCCGGTCTTTGGCCAGGGTGTGGGGAGGCGGAACTATATCTAGGTAGCGTTGCGCAATTGGGCGGGGAATCCCACTGCCAACTGATGGTCACTACCAGTGGAAGCACACCATAGAGTTGCCCTGGAGGACCTAGAAAATTCCTAGAGGGGACTTCTAAAAAGAATTGGGATGCAGGTAGCTGAAACTGCATCCAGGTAGTGTCTGGGGTCTGATAGTTCCTAGGTATCCTCTCTAGGAATTTCCCAGTGCATCTCGGTGGAAGCACACCACAGAGTTGCCTTGGAGGACCTAGAAAATTCCTAGAGGGGACTTTTAATAAACTGGGATGTAGGTGGCTGAAACAATAACCAGGTAGTGTCTGGGGTCTGATAGTTCCTAGGTATCCTCCATGGCAATTTTCCCAGTGCGTCTTGAAATGAGTTCCACCCTTCCAGTGGAACACACCCCTATAGTTTTTACCCCCTTTGAGTACATAAAAAAATCACCTGGAGGGGAACTTTAAAAATAAAATTTGGGAATCAATTATCCAGGTGGTGTCCCCCATGGTGTCTTGATTAGTTGTTAGCCTAGTATCCTTCCCTACGGATATTCCCGATGCATCTTTGAATGGGTCACTTTCCCCCCGTGAAAGCACAACCATTAGATTTTTGCCCTGGAGGACCTGTTAAAATAATTTCCCTAGATGGGGACTTTTTAAAAATTGGGGGATGCAGTGTTCGCCTGAAACTGTAAACCAAGGTATTGGGTCCCTGGGGTCCCCCTGATGGTTCCTAGTAATCCCTCTCCTAGTGAATTTTCCCCCTTCCCCAGTGCGTCCCATTTGATGTCCAACGAGTAGTCCGTGGGAAGCAAACACCAGTAGAGTTGCACTTGGGGAGTGACCCTAGAAAATTCCTAGAGGGACATTTTTAACAATTGGGAAATACAGTATACCAGTGTGCCACAGGGGGCCCCCCTGATCGTACTCCTCAGGTAATCCATCTCAGGAAAGTTTCCCAGGCAATCCTTGATTGTCCCCCCCCACATTGCCGGCAAAAGAAATGCACCCACCGTTTTACCTTTGTAAGTGATCTTATAAAAATTTAATGGTCACTTTGCCGGTGGAAAGCACACCATATAGTTTTTTGCCTTGGAGGACCTGAAAAAAATCCCTAGAGGGCCTTTTAACAATTGGGATTGCCAGTACCCGTGGGGTGTCCACCCCCCCCCTGAGTCCCCCTGAAATAGTTTCCTAGGTGATCCTACCTCTAATGCAATTTCCCATGTTTTCCCTCCTTTGAATTTGGTCCCGCCCCCCTGTGGAGCGCAACACCACGAGGTTTTGCATATTTATCCATATAATTGGATACGTGGGGGGAAGTTTTATGAAACTGCCACAACCCTTTTGTCCTTTTTGCGTGGATTGACATCTAGATTATAGCATTCCTTCGTGGTTTTGGTATCGTGGGCATTTTCCTGCTAAGGATTCCCCCATACCCAATTGGATGGTGTACGGTTGCGGTGGTGCGCCTACCTGGTGCCTGAGCACCCCTTTTTTGAGTTGGCAAAGATACAGAATGGGGGACGCCTGGCTCAAGAGCAGTACGTGTGAAAAAAGATCTTGGAGTCCTCGTGGACAACAAGTTAAACATGAGCCAACAATGTGATGTGGCGGCAAAAAAAGCCAATGGGATTTTGGCCTGCATCAATAGGAGCATAGTGTCTAGATCTAGGGAAGTAATGCTACCCCTCTATTCCGCTTTGGTTAGACCACACCTGGAATATTGTGTCCAATTCTGGGCACCACAATTCAAGAGAGATATTGACAAGCTGGAATGTGTCCAGAGGACGGCAACCAAAATGATCAAGGGTCTGGAGAACAAGCCCTATGAAGAGCGGCTTAAGGAGCTGGGCATGTTTAGCCTGAAGAAGAGAAGGCTGAGAGGAGACATGATAGCCATGTATAAATATGTGAGAGGAAGCCACAGGGAGGAGGGAGCAAGCTTGTTTTCTGCTTCCTTGGAGACTAGGACGCAATGGAACAATGGCTTCAAACTACAAGAGAGGAGATTCCATCTGAACATGAGGAAGAACTTCCTGACCATGAGAGCCGTTCAGCAGTGGAACCCTCTGCACCGGAGTGTGGTGGAGGCTCCTTCTTTGGAAGCTTTCAAACAGAGGCTGGATGGCCATCTGTCAGGGGTGATTTGAATGCATTATTCCTGCTTCTTGGCAGAATGGGGTTGGACTGGATGATTGCCTAGGAGGTCTCTTCCAACCCTTTGATTCTATGATTCTATTCCTTCTTTTCCCCCCTTGCAGTGGCAATCTACCTTGGCATCAAAAGGAAGCAGAACCCCGGCTGCTCCGATTTACCTGGAATGTGAAGCTGACCAGCCCCCGCTCGGCCGAGGCTCTGCTGGCCGCCCTCCGCCAGGCCACGGACTCTGCCCACTGCTTCTGCCGCCAGACGGAGCCCTTTGTCCTCTCCTGCTCCTTCGAGAAGGCCCCCAGCGAGCTCTTCTGCGCCTTCGAGGTGGAGGTCTGCCGGCTCCAGCGCCTGGGCGGCCTCCACGGGGTGCTCTTCCGGCGACAGGCCGGCACCTCCCTCGCCTTCCGCAGCCTGGTGGGAAAGATCTCCGACCAGCTGCAGCTCTAGCCGGGCGGGCGGCCAGCCCAGGGGACCCTCCCGGGAGACCCCCGCCCCAGAAACACACCCGGTGCAGCCCTCCACGCCCCCAACATTTCCGGTGCACCGAGGAGCCGCTCTGGGGACGAGGCTGCCTTGCAATTGTGGGGGCGCCGGGTGCAGATTTGGGGTGCAAACGGTGGCGATGCCATTAGGACTCTTCTGGACGATCACAGGCTGGAGACAAAATCCTCAACCCCATAGTTTCAGGGATGGGTCTGATCCTGCATTGCATTGCATCGAGGAGCTGCTCTGGGGGAGGGGTTGCCTTGCACTTGTGGGGGGATTCGGGGGCGTTTGGTGTGGATTCTGGGGTGCAAAAGGTGGGGATGCCGTTAGGACTCTTCCGGATGATCACAGGCTGCAGACAAAATCCTCAACCCCATAGTTTCAGGGATGGGTCTGATCCTGCATTGCGCTGCATCGAGGAGCTGCTCTGGGGGAGGGGTTGCCTTGCACTTGTGGGGGTGCAAAAGATGGGAATGCCATTAGGACTCTTCTGAGTGAATAGTATCCAAAGGAAGGAGGGATAACAGGCTGCAGACACCAACATTTCAGGGATGGATGCATTGAAAAGCTGCTCTGGCGACGGGGTTGCCTTGCACTTGTGGGGGGATTCGGGGGTGGCGACGGGGTTTTGCTCGTTGCACTTTGTGGGGGGGATTCATGATGCGCGTTTGATGCTGATTTGGGGGTGCAAAAGGTGGGAATGCCATTAGGACTCGTCTGGGTGAATAGTATCCCAAGGAAGCATGGATAGCAGGCTGGAGACACCAACATTTCAGGGATGGATGCATCGAGGAGCTGCTCTGGGGACGGGGTCACCTTGCACTTGTGGGGGGATTTGGGGGCGTTGGATACAGATTTTGGGGTGCAAAAGTTGGGGTGTCATTAGCACTCCTTTGGGTGAAAAATATTCCAAGGAAGGAGGGATAACAGGCTGCAGACACCAGTGTTTCAGGGATGGATGCATCAAGAAGCTGCCTTGCACTTGTGGGGGGATTCGGGGGTGTTGGATACAGATTTTGGGGTGCAAAAGGTGGGGTGTCATTAGCACTCCTTTGGGTGCAAAATATCCCAAGGAAGGAGGGATAACAGGCAGCAGACACCAACATTTCAGAGAGAGATACATCAAGGAGTTGTTCTGCGGACGAGATCGCCTTGCACTTAGGGAGATTTAGGGGTGCAAAAGAGAGATAATAGGCTGCAGACAAGATCCTCAACCCCATAGCTTCAGGAATGGGTCTGATCCAGTACTGTGGTGCATTGAGGAGGCTGAACCTTGCAGTTGGGGAATTGCGGGGCATTTGATGCGGATTTTGGGGTGCAAAAGTGGGGGGATGCTACTAGGACTCTTCCAGGGGGAAAATATCCCAAGGAAGGAAGGATAAGAACAGGCTGCAGACAAGTTCCTCAACCCCAAAGTTTCAGGGATGGGTCTGAGCCAATATTGTGATGCATTGAAGAAGTTGAACCTTGCAATTGGGGGATTTGGGGGCATTTGGTGGGAATGCCATTAGGACTCTTCCAGGCAAAAAATATCCCAAGGAAGGAAGGATAGCAGGCTGTAGACAAGATCCCTGTATGGTTCCAATGTTTCAGGGTCTGATGCATCAAGTAGCAACTCCAGGGAGGGTAAACCTTGCAATTTTGGGGGGCATTTGATGGGGATTTTGTGGTGCAAAAGAGGGGGAACACCATGAGGACTCTTCTGGGTGGAAAATATCTCAAGGAAGGAGGGATAACAGTCTGCAGACATCAGGGTCTGATGCATCAAGTAGCAACTCTAGAGAGGTTAAACATTGCAATTTTGGGGGGCATTTGATGCGGATTTTGTGGTGCAAAAGTGGGGGAACACCATGGGTGGAAAATATCCTAAGGATGGAGGTACAAGATCCGCAATCCCTGTATGCTTCCAGCATTTCAGGGTTTGATGCATCAAGGAGCTGCTCTGGGGATGTGGTTGCCTTGCACTTATGGGGGGATTTGGGGGGGGTGTTTGATGTGGATTTTGGGGTGCAAAAGGTGGGAATACCATAAGGACTCTTTCAGGGGAGAAATATCCAAAGGAAGGAGGGATAATAGGCTGCAGACAAGATCCCTGTATGGTTCCAATGTTTCAGGACTGATGCATCACAGAGCAGCTCTAGGGAAGTGGTTCCCCCCCATGCCCTTTCTTGATGGGATTTTTGTTGGGGGGTTGGTTTGATGTGTGAATTTTTGAGGTGCCAAAAGATAAGGGGGTCACGCCTCATGGAAAGTGCACTCCTTCTGGGATGGAAAATATCCCAAGGAAGGGGGGATGACAGTTTGCAGACATCAGAGTCTGGTGCATCAAGTAGCAACTCTAGGGAGGATAAACCTTGCAATTTTGGGGGGCATATGATGCGGAATTTGAGGTGCAAAAGAGAGGGGAAACCATGAGGACTCTTCTGGGTGGAAAATGTCCTAAGGAAGGAGGGACAAGATCTGCAATTCCTGGATGGTTCTTGCATTTCAGGGTCTGATGCATCAAGACACTGCTCTGGGGATGGCGTCACCTTGCACTTAGGGGGATTTGGGCGGTGTTAGATGTGGATTTTGGGGTGCAAAAGGTGAGAATACCATAAGGACTCTTTCAGGGGAGAAATATCCAAGAGAAGGAGGGATAACAGGCTGCAGACAAGATCCAATGTTTCAAGACTGATGCATCACGGAGCAGCTGTAGGGAAGGGGTCACCATGCACTTCTGAGGAAATTTGGGGGTGTTTGATGTGTATTTTGAGGTGCAAAAGAGGGGGAACGCCATGAGGACTCTTCTGGGTGGGAAATATCCCAAGGAAGGGGGGATAAGAGTTTGCAGACATCAGAGTCTGATGCATCAAGTAGCAACTCTAGGGAGGATAAACCTTGCAATTTTGGGGGGCATTTGATGCAGAATTTGAGGTGCAAAAGAGAGGGAACACCATGAGGACTCTTCTGGGTGGAAAATATCCTAAGGAAGGAGGGACAAAATCTGCAATTCCTGGATGGTTCCTGCATTTCAGGGTCTGATGCATCAAGACACTGCTCTGGGGATGGGGTCACCTTGCACTTAGGGGGATTTGGGGGTGTTTGATGTGGATTTTGGGGTTGCAAAAGATGTAAATGCAATAAGGACTCTTTTGGGGGGAAATATCCAGTGGTCATCTAGTAGCCATAGTGGTCAAGATGGGATGGTAAAGTTGGCTTTGGCAAATGTCCATTGCAGTTCCAGTGAGAAAGAGTTCCTTGGCATGGAAATAGAATGGGTCATTGAGCTGCTATCCTACTTCTGTGTTCCTAGTGGTCATCTGGTGGCCGTAGTGGTCAAGATGGGAGGCTAAAGTCAGCTCTGGCAAATGTCCATTGCAGTTCCAGCTAGAAAAAGTTCCTTGGCATGGAAATAGAATGAATCATTGGGCTGTTATTCTACTTGTGTGTTACTAGTGGTCATCTGGTGGCCGTAGTGGTCAAGATGGGATGCTAAAGTCAGCTCTGGCAAATGTCCATTGCAGTTCCAGCAAGAAAGAGATCCTTGGCATGGAAATAGAATGAGTCATTGGGCTGTTATTCTACTTGTGGGTCATCTGGTGGCCGTAGTGGTCAAGATGGGATGCTAAAGTTGACTCTGGCAAATGTCCATTGCAGTTCCAGCAAGAAAGATATCCTTGGCAAGAAAACAGAATGGGTCGCTGGGCTACTATCCTACATCTGTGATAACTGTGGTCATCTGGTGGCTGTAGTGGTCAAGATGTAGTGGTCAAGTCGGCTAGACAAATGTCCATTGCAGTTCCAGCAAGAAAGAGATCCTTAGCATGGAAACAGAATGGGTCATTGGGCTGCTATCCTAATTCTGTGTTCCCAGTGGTCATCTGGTGGCTGTAGTGGTCAAGATGGGAGGCTAAAGTCGGTTTTGGCAAATGTCCATTGCAGTTCCAGTGAGAAAGAGATCCTTGGCATGAAAACAAAAAGGTTCATTGGGTTACAAGTCAACTAGTGGTCAAGCTGGGAGGCTAAAGTCAGCTCTGGTGGCAAATGTCCATTGCAGTTCCAGCGAGAAAGAGTTCCTTGGCATGGAAATAGAATGAGTCATTGGGCTGTTATCTTACTTGTGTGTTACTAGTGGTCATCTGATGGCCGTAGTGGTCAAGATGGGAGGATAAAGCCAGGTCTGGCAAATGTCCATTGCAGTTACAGTGAGAAAGAGATCCTTGGCATGAACACAAAATGGGTCATTGGGTTGCTATCCAGTGGTCATCTGGTGGCCGGAGTGGTCAAGATGGGAGGATAAAGTTGGCTTTGGCAAATGTCCATTGCAGTTCCAGCAAGAAAGAGATCCCTGGCATGGAAACAGAATGGGTCATTATCCTACTTTTGTGTTCCCAGTGGTCATCTACTGGCCATAGTGGTCAAGATGGGAGGCTAAAGTCAGCTCTGGAAAATATCCATTGCAATTCCAGCAAGAAAGAGATCCCTGGCATGGAAACAGAATGGGTCATTGGGCTGTTATTCTACTTCTGTGTTCCTAGTGGTCATCTAGTAGCCGTAGTGGTCAAGATGGGAGGCTCAAAATATAACATTATGGCTTCTCTTTTTGACTTCTATTCCCTTGCAATTGCAAATAAGAAGGAGATTAATTGGCATGGAGATTGAATTGATTCATATTGGCCTGCTGGCCCTGCTTTGTGGTAGCAGTGGTCATCTGGTATCCGTAGCAGTCAAGATGGGAGGCTTGATGTTGTGGTCACTCTGAGTAGCTTTCTATTGCAAACTCAAGGCAGGAAAGAGATGGAAATGGGACAGACTTTGGCATTGATGTCCTATTTCTATTGTTGTGGTGGTCATCTGATGTCCGTAGCGGTCAAGGCTAAAGCACCCCTTGGCATTATGGTCACTCTGGTCAGCTTTCCATTGCAATCCTAGGCAAGAAAGAGATATTTGGCATTGAAATGGATTGAATGGGTTCTGGACAACTTAGCATGGAAAATGGGATGGGTCATTCAGATGATATATATGGGCCATGAAGTTCCAGTGGTCATCTGGTGTCCATAATGGTCAAGTCAAAAGCCACTCGATGTTGACGGTGAATCCAGGCAGCTTTGCATTGCAAGAAAGAGATACTTGGGATGGGAATGGGATGGGTCATTGGGATGATATATATGGGCGATGTAGTTCCAGTGGTCATCCAGCGTCCATAATGGTCAAGTCAAAAGCCACTCAATGTTGACAGTCACTCCAGGCAGCTTTGCATTGCAAGAAAGAGATACCTGGCATGGAAAATGGGATGGGTCATTCAGATGATATATATGGGCCATGAAGTTCCAGTGGTCATCTGGTGTCCATAATGGTCAAGGCGAAAGCCACTCGATGTTGACAATGATTCCAGACAGCTTTGCATTGCAAAAAAGAGATACTTGGCATGGAAAATGGGATGGGTCATTCAGATGATATATATGGGCCAT